GATCAGCACTGCCTCTGTCTATTCCAAGTAAAAACGCTGCCACGACAAAATCTGAAGAATCTACACCCAAAAGTTTCCCAACCGATGTGATAAGACCCACTACTCAAGGTAGCGGGAATATTGATCTTCCCACTAAGAAATGTGACGAAACCCCCAGCTTTTCTCATTGGTGGAATTAGCGATCCACCCTTGTCAGACTATCCAATGCTATCTCAACAGCCAGAACAATGCTTCAGGTTTGCAGTTTGAATTTACTTGAAGATAGACTTGGTAGCACTTGGTAATGACAACAAAATTTGGCGCCTGTGTTACAAGGGTATTTCTTAGAGTATAATACTTCACCCGAGAACGACAGATTTTCTCATTAGTGTAATTAGTGTTCCACCCATATCAGACTATCCAATACTATCTCGACAATAGGCATGATGATTCAGCTTTGTAGCTTAAATAAGGCCATATCACGATATCAGGTTTTCAGTGGTGTCATATGTTATTCTGGTCTCTCTTTTCTTCTCAGTCTGTTACATGCGACTGAGGGTGGGTCTAGCAGTTTCTTATTTCACGATAGCTAGATACTAATCTATCTACGATAGGACTGATTGTGTCTAGATTTTATCCACCTAGCACGATGCTGGTGCCCATTGCAGAACAACTTGCAAACCTGAGGTGGGTTTATGGACCCATGTTATCTGACACGTATTGAACGTCTGAACAACTCAATCACGTAGCTTGGTAGATACGGAGTGCACACAAAGAACAACCCTCAACGATAGGGGTTTGGGCGGACAAGCGGGACAAGGATGCCAGCACCCTGCAAAGGGTATTCGAGCACCTCTTGCTCGTTCGTGCTCGAGGGAATGGGTGGGTCATCAGAATGACCATGCTCCACTCTTCCGTCTTCCAGACGAGATCCTTGCGGAAATCTTAATGCACGGCGTTCAGATGGAGATACTAGATGGCAGCGGCGGCGATTTCGAGAAGACAGTGTCGCACGTGTCCATGCGATGGCGAACTGTAGCCATCTCTAATCCATGTCTCTGGACCCACATTTCTGTGTGTCCGGAGGGTACTCAGGCATCCCTTCAAACGCGTATTCTTCGTTCTGCGAACGCACCGGTTGATGTTGACATCTATCCTTGGCCGACACAGCTCACCAGAACTGCACCACACTCGTTACTTGTCCAACTGAACATCATTCTCCGTTGCGCAAGTCGGTGGCGCTCACTCACTGTTCGGTCTGGGCCGATGGAATCGATGTTCTCTTTCATCATGCTCTACTTCACGCGTTACGGGACATCTCTGCCATCTCTCGAATACGCGAGGCTATATGGATCGAAGATGCAAGTTAGGCCTTGGTCACGGGCACTCTTTTTCGACGAGCGTTGCACTCCAAGGCTGTCTACCCTCGAGGTTGCCAACATGAAGATATGTGCTAGCAGTCTTGATTCCCAGAACTCGACAATCACCGCCCTAATCCTCACGAGAAACATTCCATCAGAGATTGAGACGACGCCTTTGAGTGATTTTATTCGTATCCCTTCCTCGTTCCCTTCTCTCACCTCCTTGGTGATCTACGGTCTCGTGGTCGACATTTCTTCGTATCAGTCGTCTACCGACGATCACCAGTACCCCGAACTCCGCACCCTAGGACTCCATCACATCAATAGCATGGATTTCTCCCCGCTGATCACCACACTTGCATTGATGTTTCCTGGCGTTACACACCTTAATTTGACAGGGCCCTGGGCTGCCCTCTCATTACTCGAGGCTGTACAAAAAGTATCTGCAGATAAAATATGGCCGGACCTTCAGAAACTTGTGCTGAACAGCTTTATTGGCCATGAATGGTCACAAATCCATCGTTACCTTGAAGAATATAATGGTGGCGACGGCGAAGATATGACGCAATAAAGATGGTGAGTTCATCCCGCTGACAATATTGCTGGTCGTGGATGACAGGTCACTAACGTGATGCTAGCGCCGCGTTTTCAACATTTGGGCCATATTGACATGCGCCGGACCGCAGGGGACAGACTTTGCACAGTGGGGAACTGAATTTACCATGATAAAACTGTCACATATTGGATTTGTACATACATACATAGCACTAGCGTTCACATCTTCAAGTTAGACACACGTTTTCTCCGCTTTTACACTGGTACTGACTGGCACGGTCGTTGGCGCGCACAAGTTAACAGAGAACGACGTCATGGAAATTTGGAAAATGATCGACCAAGCGACAATTTATTTGCACTTGTTTGACATAGCCTTTAGCTTTCAACAAAGCAAAACAACGCCAGGACGCGATAGGACTTCAGGAAACGCGACACCGCGTTGCCTGCATGTTATCCTGCCGGAAATTTCCAACAAGGGCTCCCATCTACCTTGCATGTCGATCAAGATCGCCCGCTCTGTATCGATTCTTCTCTGCGACCAATGATACTTCCACAAGCAAGCCATTCTACATCACCACACCCATCTTCTATCCGAACGCAGGTATCTACCCCATTTTTTTCATACCTTCTAAACTAACGAGTCCTAGTACCACATATAGGTCACCTCTACTCACTCGTCACTGCTGACATATTCGCTCGCTTTACACGTATCTCTGAGCCGAGCCGCCTAGTGCATTTTTTGGCAGGAACAGACGAACATGGTTTGAAAATACAAAAGGCTGCCAAGGACCGCGGCATAGAGCCCTCTGTACTCTGTGATACTCTAAGCGAACAGTTTCGTGTGTGTCCCAGCGCGTTTCTCCTTAAACCCATTGACATAAAATGCGTTACAGAGGCTGGGTGCTCGTGCTAACATCAGTAACACGGTATTTTTGCGCACGACGGAAGCAAGACATAGAGAGGCTGTCGAAAATGTTTGGGTGTGTACATTTCTCATTAAACATTCAACGTTCTCAACTCATCTCGCGTAGCGCCATCTCGCCGCACAAGATCTCATCTACAAAGGCACATATTCTGGATGGTACTCCATTTCTGATGAATGTTTCTATACCGACAGTCAGATCACTCATCTACCCTCCTCTCCAACCCCCATCTCCATTGAAACTGGCTCTGCAGTTGAGTGGTCCAGCGAGTCGAACTACAAGTTTCGTCTCTCTAGCTTCCGGGAACGCTTGCTAGACTACTACACTGCCAATCCGAACTCAATATACCCGTCTGCTCACCGCGAAAGGCTGATACAGACCCTGAAAGATGAACCTCTCGATGACCTATCAATTTCACGACCACGGGAGAGATTGAGCTGGGGAATTCCCGTTCCGGGTGACACGTCACATACCATGTATGTGTGGTTTGACGCACTGACGGTGTATCTCACTGGAGTTGGATTTCCTGCTGAGCGGCAAGGATCACCGTGGCCACCAAATATTCAAGTCATTGGGAAGGATATCGTTCGGTATGTCTCAATATACAACGGGCCTCATTGATACCTGATGCGGGAAATCAAGTTTTCATGCGTTGTACTTGCCTGCCATGCTCCTCGCGATGGGAAAGCCGCTCTCGCATACCCTACTTGCACATGCCCACTGGACAGCGCAGCAACGCAAGATGTCGAAGTCTATAGGCAACGTCGCGGATCCATTCGACGCCATGGACGCGTGGGGTGTCGATGCCGTACGATTTTACATGGCACGCGTCGGTGGTCGTTTCAGAGATGATGTTGGTACGGCTAATCACTTTATCATTCCCCCTACATTTGTGAAATTATTTTTTAAGATTGGTCTCCTGAGCAACTTGAGAAGCATGCAGATGAAATTCGTAGTTTGCTCGGCAACTTCTTCTTGCGTATCACCTCAAGAACGATCCAGAAACGTGTAGCGTCTGCGCCTCAGCTCACGTTTGCGCAGCTCCTGGATCATTCCCTCGATGGCCCCAACGGTGACGTTCTCTCATCGCTACGTACCCTGAAGGGAAGAGTAGAGCGATGTATGGAGAAATTCGAGGTGGGAGATGCCCTCGATGCTATTATCCTTGTCCTCAGAGAGGTACGCAGTCTTATTCATTTCGTATTTAATCCTTCTGATGTGCTTCAAAGGCGAACGGGGCATTAACACACACCGCGCCCTGGTCGACGCAGAACCCGCCTGAAGCGGCACAAGTGTCCTATCTCCTCTCCCTCGAAGTGCTTCGGGTTACTGGGATATGCTTGCAACCTTTCATTCCCGAGGCTGCGCGCAACCTATTGGATGCATTGGGTGTTCCGAAGGGAGAACGGAGCATGGATTTTGTAGCCGTGGGTAAGGGCAATGTGGGGGAGGTGAAGGGAGTGAAGCTGTTTGAGGGCAAGAGAGAGATAGCCAGCAGGGATCAATAATTGTCTGTTGTGAAATGTCAGAATCACGGAGCAGATGTGCACATACTAAATGGCCCGATTCCCCACACCCGTTGTGGTGCAGCCTGCACATGTCAATTCCCACACCGTCTACAGACTCTCCAGCTTACCTGTTCCCGTGCGGACAGGCTCAGAAGAGCCGCATTGGTGTATCAAAAGAGCATCATCATATTCTAAATCATGACTAGCACTGCACTAATGAAATAGAATAAGGTATAGTACTAAGGATGTGTTTACACGGTGGATGGCGGTGGCGCTGAACAATGAATTAGCATGAGGACGCATGGTAAACACCCAAAAGTACTCACGGCAGCAATAATTCTCCAGGGGATCACAATGCTGGTCTTCGGGACAGAGAATCAAACAAGGCGAATCCCCGGATGTCTGCAATTTCATCAGTTCTGACCGACCGACAACATACACACAGCGTACTTTCAAATCATCTTCACTGGTTATAGAAGGACGAGCATGGTATTCTGGTTGGATCGTGCTGGAATGGATGCCGTTCAGATGCAGAGCCTTGCGTATGTCCGCAGCGATGGGCATGAAGTCGTGGTTCCTCGAGGCCATGACGTGTACAGAGGCGACGATCTTGGATTCTGAGAGTTGCCAGATGTGAAGCTCGTGTACAGATAGGACGCCATCTACTTTTAGGATGGAATCGCGAACGACTTCGAGCGATACGGTCGGTGGAACTCCCTGAAGCAAGATGAATGAGGCACTCCGAACTGGAATAGAATGAATTAGCACATCAGCTCTCAAATATAACCAGGAGTATCATACCTAGAGGTAAGGCAGACGTGAAGATAATGATAGTGATGACGAGGCTGACTGCGGGATCAAGGTAGAACCGACCGCTCCAAGTGGTGAGCCAAATGATGAGACCTGTAACAATCACACCAATGTTGCCGAGCGCATCACCCATGACGTGAAGCATGAGGGCGCGCATATTCATCGACCCATGTGAATGGCCATGTCCATGACTGTGCCCACTCGGAAGTGGGGGCATTGAGAAGGATTCGGGTTTGTTATGCCCGTGATCAAGGCGAGGAGTCTCTGTGATACTTAATTCTACCGAACCGTTGGGGTCCATTCGGAGAGAACGAGATGACGACGAAGCGTTTCGTTGGTGTGAACTAGGGGAAGCTATGGCAATATCCTGCGCGGCTTGTGAAACTGCAGCTCGGGTAGCGGCCGGGTGTCCGTACATCGACGAGTAAGATACTGAGCGAGCACGAACTGTGGTGGATGGGTCCTGGGGTATATTGTCGGCGGCAGTGAGTGTTGCATGTGCTGCATGTACATGGCCGCTCTCCTTGTCGCCATGAGAATGACCATGCGAATGAGAGTGGCCATGTTCTGAAATGTAGACGGTAAATAAGGCAAGGTAAGTGAAAACGTGCAACAGTACCGTGGAACAAGAGCAGTCCGAAAATGTTTGAGGCCAGACCGCATGCTCCCACTATCACCACGAGAAGTGGGTGCGATACATCTTAATGAAAGGGTATTTGTTGAAGGTAAGCCTGAAGTGCCTATCGGACTGACCTTGAATACTGAAGAAGCGTTCCACTGCCTGCAAGCTGACGGAGAAACAAAGTGCAAGTAGGAAAACACCGTTGGTTAAAGCTGCCAGAATCTCGGCCCTTTGCCAGCCATAGGAGTAACGGGAATGATTGGCGGTCTTTCCCGTCAGCTGTAATATTACGGTTACTAAATCGACGAAGAAAATACCAAGTTTGGCTCGAACCTTGATAGCATATAACGCGACAACCAAACTCATCACATCACTGCCGATGCTCATAGTCAAAATCACATGTCGTAGACTCGGAGGTTGACACTCACTTGAGCATATGGAAACTATCGGCGACGAGAGCAAGAGAACCAACAGTATAACCTGTTGAGCCATGAGGTCAATCATTGATCAGAGTGAACGCTAAGATGTGGCTCACCGACGACGAGTTCCAAGAAGAAGAATAGGATATCGATGACAAGTAACAGTGTGATGCGAGCTGAACGAGACAACCCCATTGTGATTTATTACAACTGGGACCCTCCGTAAGACAGGCAACTATGAGAATGAGCGAAGGACTTATGAATGAATGGCGAGCATACACTGCGGCGGAGATCCAAGTTAACCAAGGAGAAATACTTTGCATTGTGGATATAAACACGTTGCAGCCGCTTCGCTTCTGGGCCACCCCCTGACACCAAGATCGTGTCCAGCCGCAAGTGTTCTGTGTGTCCACTGCCTCGGAAGTTCAGAACGGCATGACACGTATCTACGGCGCGGCGTTCAACGTAATTTGGCCATGGAAGTACCCCCGAGAAGGTCCGTCAAACTTTATGTAACTCTCTGAAACTTTACTAAATACTATGATGACGCCGACCGAGCGCTCAGAGCTCAAACTCAAAGCCACGCATTCTCCTTGTGGAGACTTACATTACTTCCACCGTGAAGCGGAAAGTGGTTTGGGCGTGTAACAGGGAGACAGCGGTCAATGACAAGACACTGGTAGGGAGGTCGCATGTTGGCTTATCGGTTTTTGTTGATGTGGCGTGATCATAATGCACGGTGTCTCATGAAGAAGAAAAAGAAGTTCATCAGACTGATTTTTACGAAAGTGCTTTATAGGAACTTACTATGATACTAAAACTGCTTTTCGAATATGCAGAGATCTATAAATATGTGAAAGATAAGGAGCCTCAGACGACACCAAGTACTTGCAAGTTGTGCCAATCCAAGTATATATATGCGTCGGACGTCCAATTGATACGATGAGCGCCCTCACGACGACACAGTAATTAGTTCCCCAAGTGGTGCAAGACGAGTCTGGCATTTGTGGGGAGAGCGCCGCGGCGGAGGGAACGTAGATAGGATGTATCAAGGGCTGTACCCGCGGCAGGCAGTAGTACCCCGGATTGTGGCACTTCATATGGGTAGCAGTGTCTGTGGTTCTCATCATTGAGTCGAAGAACATATAATTGTAGGAATCGATCTCTCACCAATTCAATACATATCCGATCATCGTGGGTGCTCTCGGAGGCTCTCGGGAGTCTCTACCTCGACGTTGGAACAGTTCATCCATGTCAGTGTGCGTTCTTGATCGGATACCGTGCTAAGACGCGCTTCGCCGCGGCTGAGCTGGAAAACGCGTAGCACGTGACTGATCACTGGACCATCTAGATTCTCGCGTGTCACAGGACCGGACAAGGCTGCACTCTCACCTCCTGTCCACTGCCATCATTGACTCCCGCTGACTCTCCCTGACTTGAATCAGTCTCACAGGAAATTCTGTCATAGATGCTTTCTCGCTTTCTTCTCTCTCATTCACCCATCGTCGTAGACACCTAGCGATGCCCCCAGGAACGCCCTACGCCTCTTTTGCGCTCCCTTATCCCATTCGTGTCGACTGTTTTACATGTACAGCTCATCTTCCAGCTCCATACAACACCCCAGCACTGCATCTTCTCACACACTCGCATACCGACCACATTCTAGGTCTCTCGTCAAAATCATTTGCTGCCCGGGTAGTATGTTCGTCTGACACAAAGGAGATACTCCTGAGACATGAGGTCTATCTGGAGCGTGCAAAGAAAGATGGAGGTGAAGTTGCGACGCGGACGTTTGCTCATTTGAAGGTTGAAGGAGGAGCATTAAGGCGGGATTTGTTGGTGAGTGTGAGAGCTCGTTTCACGCGCGTGTCCTGACGTGATACATCAACGGAAAGCATGCAGTTCCGCTGAATACTCCAACTGAGTTTGAGTTATCACCGACTGAGATTGTGACCATTACGCTCATCGATGCGAATCATTGCCCAGGTGCCGTCATGTGCGTTTCTCCTCGTATATTTTATCCCTGCCGTTCATTTCTGCTTAATAGGTTCCTCATCGAGGGTCCCCGTGGCACAATTCTTCATACGGGCGACGTACGCGCTGAACCATGGCTTCTGGCCTCTTTAAGTCGCAATCCGTTTCTTCAACCATACATCCCAGACTCGGAGGAAGATCTCCATGTTCTCGTCGCGCGAGGTGGCCAAACAGCAAACTTAACGAAAACATTAAATGCGATTTATTTGGATACGGCGTGCATGTTGAGGGGAACTGTTGTCCCCACAAAGGTGATTATTCCAAATACTGTCAGAGTGATCAAGGGTTACAAATATGAATAGGAAAACGCGGTCAAAGGCCTGGTCGAGCTCATTGCCCTGTTTGATAAGGACACCTATTTCTTTGTAAACTCGTGGACTTGGGGATACGAAGACGTGCTCAAGGGTATCGCACGAGCGTTCCAGTGCCAGGTAGGCAATTGTCCCCTTTTTCTTACCTTTAACTATACATGACCATGGTCAATTTCTTCGTGCGTTTCGGAAACCATCATTGCTTTCGCGACTTGTATCAAACTGTTCTCGTCTTGCCATGGCGCATATATGCTGTTTTGGTGCTTGTATGCTGCTTATCATTCATAAACTTGACCTTCCAGTGATCCTTTCTGTGCATTGTACGACTTTTTGTTGTATACTTCCTTTTCGCTACGATTGGTGTCTCGTTTCTGCCGTGGCCCGTTTTTCTGACGTATTTGCTTATCCTCAGATTCATGTCGATCGGTACAAATATGCTGTCTACACGCATATCTCGGATCCCTTTCTTCGTACTCTCGTCACACGCGACGCGACGATCACTCGCTTTCATGCCTGCGAACGGTATGAGCGCTGCAGTTTCGTGGATGTACCTAAGTTTGTTATTCCGTCTTTTATCAGCCGACTTCGCTCACCGATGGCATATCCTGCTCTGACCATTTACCAAACGAAACGGTGAATAGATTTGACTTCAAGAATGAATCAGCGCCACGGAGCATCGAGGGAAAAAAAGTCGTATACGTCAATCCCGTGACCATGGGATGTGCACAGTGGGAGGGCTATCGCATGGATGTACAAAGACGTCTTGCGATGGGGAAGGATGTTGATCGCTTGGTCAGTATGTCAACTATATTCTCACCCTTCCTCCATTCCTTTTCATTATCGACGCAAGGCACTGATATCGACTTTCATATAGCTTGTACCTCTCGAACGACATTCTCCACTACCAGAATTGCTCAACCTTGTGTCCCTCTTCCGCCCGCGTCGGGTGGTTCCCAATACCCTCGTGCCTGCTCTCGGCGGTCTCGATTGGACTGCTATGAAAGCCATGTTCAAGGAGTGTATGGCACCGCCCATTCCCGAACGTGGCGACCTCATCCCGAACGAGCTGAGCCCATCAGGAGTTGTCCATCCCAGTGTCCACGATTTCGCCTCCCTTGACCTCACCGATACAGACTCAGCAATGAAAAACCTCGTCGGCGACTCCGCTGAACTTGAAGCACAGAAGTGGGCAGATGACGGGAGTATGCGACGACGACTGGAGATCCTTCGAGGGTGGTTAGGACCAAAGGAGAAGGGAATTGTTGATCGAGTGCTCGGGCGTCTACCGAGTTCGTATAGAAGCCCATCTCCGTTATTGTCCCGGACCGGTGCTGCGCCAGAAACCCCCAAAAAGCAGAGCAGAACTTCCATGCAGGTCAAGCGCTACGTGGAAGACTCGGACGACTCGAGCGACGACGACGGCTCTGATGCACATGCCAGAACTGCGCGCCTGCTCTTTGCTGGGGATTACAGCATGGAAGAGTCGGTCAAAAGCTGGTTATCGTCGGATCCGTCACAGATATCGGGAGGCATTACCGGTCCCGAAAACTTGGGTCCTGCGCAAGAACAGGCTATCTCAGCTGCAACAGCGGTGGCTGATGTTCAGCTTCCGGTGTCTGGACAGACTAACAACGTCCCAGCTATCACACTTTCCGCTCATCAGAGCCTCCCCACGCCGGTATCGTCATCCGCTCCGCAGCTGCGAGATCTCAAGGGGAAAGGCAAGGAAACAGGAAATCAAACAAATGCTGAAATCACAGATTTATTGCTCCCACCTTCCTCCCCACCTGCACTCGGGAGCTCCTCGCCGGCCCCTTTTCTACGCATATCAGACTACTTTAGCCAAATTCCCCAGCGCACGCCGACAGCTCCCTCCATTCTCGAGGAACTTGGTGAGGGCGAACCCCTGATCCGCGCGCAATCTGTGATGTCCATGAGTGCATGTACGTCGCCATTTGCATCGTTTGAGGACGTAGTCATGGCCGAGGCGGAACTGTTATCGCTACCTGAGCTGCTCGACGATAACTCCTTGAAGCCCTCCGAGGCGAAGAGTGGATTGATTCCAATGTGCGAAGGCGCGAGTACAGTGCTAAATAGTCAGCAGAGCACTGAAACATTCTCGAAAGAAGTCTTTTCCCAGCCATTATCAGATACTCCACCGTCGCAGCGCTCTCAACCATTTAAGAGCCTTTCTAATCAGTCGCTTTCTCGTCAACCATCTCTCCCTCCTTCTCAGATTCAGAGCCAGCATAGCGATAGTCATAGGAGAAAACGTCACAGACTCGAAGAATATACTGCCACCAGTGTTTCTGAGATGGAAAATGCCATAACTCAAACTTCTTCTCTTGTTTCCGCCTTCGGACGTAGAAAGACTGAAGAATACATCGATGGCCCCCGTAATGCGGGACATCCGCACTACAGGTCGTTTAGGGTTCCATCACCAGATGTATTCCTTGATACGGCAGGTGAGTTACCGCCTCACAAGCGCGAGCAGCGTCCCTCTGTTATCCTGCCTTCCAACCTTGCAGCCAATCGATCGGTTCCCTCACTTCTATACCCTCCTCAACTACCGGAAATTAGTCCTTACCGATGTTATGAGCCCCGTGCGACGTCCTCCACCTCCGTCCCCGTTACTTTGAATTCGCCTCGGCTTCTGGCGTCCGCTCCGACGATACCTCTTGTGTCAGATAGCACTTCAACTATGAACTTCGCCTCGTCCTCCAAGACCCCACTACCTTCCTTCGTCATCTCGGAAACATCTCGCTCGGCAGAACGACAAAAACGACGAGAAATGGCTGAGAAACTGTGTCGAGCACGCCCGGACTTGGTTGATCCCTCATATGCAGCCAAGCGTGCGAGGAGATTGTCTCGGCTTGAAGGTGAACAGTCGATATCCGTCATGCAAGACATGAGCTCAAGTGCAATTGGATCGTCTTCGTCACATGATATCTCTGCGAAGACCAATGATCCATCATCAACTATGCTCCGCCGGGAATTCCGCCCTGCATCTCGTTTGTCTTGCTTGCCGCCATCGAAACAAGTCACAGGAACAACAGTTCCCGATCGTCCTGCTGCGAAGCGCCAGCGTGAGCTGTTGGATGAGGATACAGAGGATGTGCGTCAGACGATGGATTGGGAACGAAGTCGAAGGCTTGCGCGGGATGTTACGAGTGCGCTTGCTGTAGGGCGGGAGGCGAGGGATGTGCTTCCGCGGTTGAGGTGTGTATCTGCTCGGCGAGGACATCTTGCGAGCTAGTGGGTGCGGTGGGTGTATAATTTCAGATCTGTCGGCTGCGCTACACAAATTCTACTGCAATTGCAACTAGTACTTACTGTTACATGCATCATTAAGTTTTTTCTTTACAATATCATGATTATATTCGAATCTATCATCCCCCCGATGCGTACGCCGCCAGCTGCCAACAAGAATCCGGTACTTCACCTCCTTGTTGGTGTTTTTTGTTTTGCCTGATTTGGAATTACCGTATGCTGTCCAACAATTCCGCTCCAGACGTGCCTGAATATTTCAAAGCTGATATGCCGGCCGACTCAGAGTTGATCAGTATCATTCAGAACAGTTGGCCTTACTCCGTCCCTATCGAGATTGAACACACGCTCATCTGGTCGCGAGTGCCTATTTTCCATCCGGATCTCATCCCATCGGAAATCGATGCACGGATTCAACAAGATGGGCTGTGTGGGTTTACGGGCAACGACGAGCCTCCACCCTCGCCGTCAACCCTGCCAGAATGTCTGCCTGCGCTGGCAGAGTGGGGAATCACCATGGAGAATTTAGTTCGCAGCCCCAAAAGCAGTCCAGAAATCGACGAGATGGTGAGTAATGCTGGAAGGGAAATAGACGGTTTCGTGAAACGGAGATGGGTAGAGAGCGAGTGGGAAACTGCATGGTTTGTCAATCCCCCAGTGAGTGGACGAGCCTGTGGTTGTGTTGTATCAGACACTGAGCATTTTCCAGAGGCTACAAAGTGTTCGTGGACTAGCGCACATACACGTATTCGCGAAGAAGAAACACTTATAGATCAGACCAATATTAGACATAGAATACTCATCAGCTTTATGGTTGGATGTCTTTGCGAATGAGTTTCAATTCATCCACCGCTATCTTCACGATATCGCGCCATTCTGTCATGGCACCAAGTCCTTTGAGAAAAGGTCATATTTTCTGGAACAGCAGGAATGGAAGTCAGAGTCACACACCAACGTCCCCGCATGCAAGATTCTTTCCAATTGGTCCAACGACTTGGTAACGCACAACATCCCGGATGACGCGCAAATGTTCCGCAGTGAGCGGATGCTCATACATGAGCGTATTCATCGCCGGGAATACGTAAGTCGGTGTCGTAGGCGCCAGCGCACGAAGCAGAGAGGTCTAAGCAAGAGGTTTTACATTGAATGTGATATGAATGCGCTGGGAAACATACAGCGAGATTGTCGCAGAGCCCGTGTGCAATCTTTGATAGCGTATTTGCCGAGCAGGGAGCAACAAGGACGATGTCAGCCCACCTCCTCAACTCGATATGCAGGATTGGGTCTCCAATCTTGTATGACCCCTGTCACGGACATTAAGACGACCAAGCTCTTCTTGAAAAGCGCGTATATTCACCGACCACTCGTCCTCATCTGTCCACACGCGTGCGCCTGCCTTGACGACGTCTGCAGGGTCATAAAACGCGAGCGATTCCTTGGTCGCAACCACCTCTACTCTGACATTCTGAAACTATGTTTGCACGCCGTGGGCATAAGCAGTGGCAGGATTCCAGGACGGGGAACAGACTTGGAGAAGCTCTGCGACGATGAGAGGAGCTTTTATAGATGCTACACTTCCAGTCGTTATAAGCAATACATGGTTGTGATCTGGGAGGCGCTCCGTTTCGGCAATAAATTGGCGAGTCACCATGGAACGTCTGAAAGTGAGGTTATCATTACAGATAATTTGTCAAGCTAACTTATTATCTATTTTATTTTATTTTATTAGATCTTTCGTTTCTCCAAGGTTCAAAATCTCCCCTATCCAAACCATATACAAGGAAGACAGTCGTTCCTTCTTGTGTGCAACATACGAAAGGTGTCATGATCGAGATGAGCGATAAATTTTCACTCGTCGAAACCAGTCAGGATCCCATAATTTCACCTTCACCTCATCTACCAGCCGAGATCCTGTCTCTGATCCTGTCTAGAAGCTTCAGGACTACCCACTCGTTCAGGGATGTGATCGATGTCCTGCTCAGCTGTTGTCTTGTATCAAAAGCCTGGTGCGGGCCTGCAAGGGAAATGCTGTATAGATCTATTCCACTGTCTCAGCTCGAATCCCTTTGCCTGCTTCTGCGCACCGTGCGCAGCGAGAGCTTCGGTGGCCTTTGCCCTGCTCTTGCCCTCCATTTCAGGCCTTTGTTTCCGGAATTCCCTCTCAAAAAGGAGATTAGGAAATTCGCGACACTCGCTGGAGAGATTGTCGTCTGCTGCCCAAAACTTCTTTACCTCACAGGAGATTGTGGTCTCCTGCACTTCACCAGCACCATGTCCCACCCTAGGTACCCATTTTTGACGGGACTCAAAGTATATGGGCAGGACCTCGAACTCCTTGCCCCTCTCCTACCTCATCTATGCAATCTCAAGACCTTCGAGATGCTCGAGAGCTACGGTGATAGCGATATGCTGGACGATTGCTTTGAGCCGCCTAGCTTCAAGCTTTCGAAATTATCGATATCTCAGACAGAATTATCTCCTGGCCTGTGCAAATGGCTATTCGCATCTTCTTCCGAAAGTGTTGAGTCCTTGAAGGTGCAGGAAGTAGGCTCGAACCTGCAACCCTTGATCGAAGTCATGGGAGGTTCTGTGAGGGAGCTTCACATCAAGGGTATGGTTGATCACGAAACGGACAGCGACTCAGAAGCTATCAAAGTCATATCTGGGTTGGCAGGACTGCGAAGGCTTCGCATTGACGGATGGGATTTCAAAACAGAACATTTGCTCAATTTACAATCATCATTGGAGACATTCGCGTTCTCACCCTATGGCGCGCGTGTACGTGATGTCCAGACCCTGTTGCGGTCGGGTTGGCAGCCCTCCCTACAGTCACTGGACTTGCATGTAGAGCCGTTCTCCAGCGTGAAGTCCTGGGAGCTCGGGAGTGGCTCGCGGGGGTGGCAAGATGAGCTGACGCAGACTTGTGCTGCTCGCGGTATCCAGTTGAACGAGATTTGATGTTTGATATTCCCCTTCCTCCTTGTCTGTCTTAGTACGATTTGGATACGTCGTTTCTTTACTGAATGTAACACCACAGTCGCATGCATGAACAGATTACCATACGATTTGCAGATATATGATCCTGAACAGCCATCATGCCTCATGGACAATCCTAACTTCTCATGCTTGCCCCGCATTGTGAAAGTGTATCTATATGCATGCATCCTCTGTTTCGAATCTTGCATGCAAAGTCACTTCTTGGTGAAGCGCGGGATGTCTATGGCTACTCACAAGTAAACACACGTAGATCTAACCTTCTATCCTATCAGGAATCAGAGGGAACCAATAATTCAAGTCATTGCTTTCGTTCTACCACTTCCCGCGGGTGACTCAATTCATTTATTCAGCATTAATTACATTACCAGCCTGCCCTTCATGGCATACAGTCTGACATGACAGAACTATTACGATACCAAGCATGCGCACCACATCTGAGTACCATCTAAGAGTCCCGGCGGCGAATAAGTGAGGAAAATATAGCAACATTCAAACCTGCTAGTGCAGCGTAGTCAATCACTCATACCGACGAACTTTCAAAGGTACTCCAACGCCATCCTCTCCGACAACCCGCGGACGAGGTAAAATCCCCCTCCCAACCTCGACCTGAGTATCTGGTCCATCCCGCATCTCAAACACAAAGTTCTTCACCAGAATCAACAAAACCGTCTATGTCGCAGTGAGTAACGTTCACACTAGCTGATTTGTGGCAATCACCTTGAATTCCGCAACTGCAAAATCTTTTCCAAGACACGTCCTTGGGCCATCGATAAATGTCAGCAGATGCCTGTGGCCTTGGACGTCCTTGGCCTTCCCGCTGATGCCCTCTTCAGCCAGCCAACGTTCAGGCTTGAATTCCTTTGCGTCAGGTCCCCAGATGGCCAAAGAGCGATTGATCGCCGCGGTTGATATCGTTATCAATGTCCCCTTCGCTACAGATATATTGTCCGTCATTTCCCCGGACGCGGTGCGCACAGGTTCGCTCAATGGAATAACATCGTCTGCAGCTGCCTGTAGATCTATTGTCAGGGTGTCTATTCGCATGAAGACAGGCGCACTCACAACACGAATAAACTCGGGTACAGCAGGATGGAGTCGTAGAACTTCATGAACGACCCCATCCAAGTATGGGAGATTGGCTTTTAATTGGTCATATGTTGGATCAGCACCAAACGCAAACAGTTCCTCTCTGAGTTTCGTTTGGATGTCGGGGCGTTGTGATAGGTGGATCAGCGACCACTGATCATCACATAAGTAGCGAGCACAGACTTTATGAGACAGTGGACTTACCGTAAGACTAACTGCCAAGGAAGAATCAGCCGATGTGATAACACCGTAAAGGAAATCAACTCACCGGATGTCGTCTCATAACCCGCGATAAGCAAGACCTTCATCTGCAGGACGTTAGCTGGCAAATCATGGCTGTGATACTCTCTTCGGACCTGAGCCACTACTTCCTCTTTGGACATATGAAACTCGGCATCCTGGCTTTCAGATTTGACTGATCGTTCCGTCAATAAGGGGAATACGACGAATCATGAAAAGCGCGTACGCAACAATCCAATAATGGACTTCTCCTCGTCTCTCTCACTCATATTTGCATCCTTTTCCCGGCGACTGCGAATCAACAACTCGTTCGATATTTCTCCCATGGTTGCACCAAGTTTCTTGAACAAGGTCATCCGCTTAGTGGGGATCTTGTAAATTAAAGGAACCGCTGACGCGAGCAGGATAAAAGCTTGTTTCACTGCTGAGGGCTGTGAGTTGTTTCCGAAATTCTCAAACGCCTCGGCCACGCTGACGTGCTTTCCATCGAGCGAGCCAAAATCATGGGAGAAACCAGCGATGCCAATCGTATCCAAACTGATATTGCATCATTTTCAGGATTTCAATGGCAAAAGAAAATCATCACGTACGATATATGATTCATCCTTGGAATTGTTTCGATTAGGAATTCTACTTTGTCAAGCCAGAAAAGCTACGCACCAGTTTTGAACTTCAATCACAGCATTCCCATCTTTGCTCGATTCTATAATGGTATCCCATTTACCTTTGGCCTGTAAAGTATCAAGCTCAGTGATGTATGTCTCACACTGCGAATCCGTACCTTGTATGCTGAGTCATAAAACACTGATGTGAGTTTCCGAATGGCTGCACTGCTGAAAGCTGGCGTAAGGGCCTTCCGCTGCCTGATTCGCAGGTAGTCGATTAATCTCTGGCGCGAGGACAAGAACTGAACAGCACCTTTTGTGGGTTTCACCCTCAGACCATAGTAGCCCTTTGCCGATCTGACAAGATGTGTCGGATAGATGAAGTAAGAAGAAGACTTTAACACACTGATGCTTCTGTAAGTGCCAACACACGGGGCGTTTTCACATAGGTCCATGTCTCTCGGGCAAAAAAATGTGCTATAGCTCTTGGGTCGCACAGTATGATTCTAGTTTGTCCGAGGACGCTCGGAATCATATACGCTACCCCATATTCCTCTGCCCAATGTTCATACATCGTACCGCTATCATGAGATGAGCCGAGGTCGCGTGAAACGCCGTATAAAAAGCTGGTACGAGGTGGACCCCGGAGTTGAGTCGTCTTCAATCGCCAGCGAAGCACCCTTAGGACTTTGACAAAAGCCCATAGTGCAGCAAGTGACCCAGCGACATTGAGTGCGCCAAACGACCGTGCGGTCGTCCAGAGACTTAGTGGAGAGGGTATAGATGGTATAGCGATGGTAAACGCGTTCATTGTTGTGTTGGATTCGACATATGGGATCTACTAGGACATTTATAGTCATGTCTGCGGCAGCGGCAAGACTATGAAGTTCACCAGCTTCTGTAGGAACAAAACTGTCAACTGCGGGAGTGTTTACTCGGCACCGGTGTTTATCGTCAGCAGTGGTTTTCCATAGAAGCTGAAACACGTGTCGGTCCTTTGAACTGGAAATTGTTGGGAACGTTTTGAACCTTCACGGAGAAGAGTTACGTTCAGTCCAAGCCGTGATAATTCGATAGCTAGGCAGGGCCGAGGCCACTTCAGTGGGGGAGAAAATGGTACGATGCGGATGATACGGAGCGCCCGTCTGGTTGCATACGCCACTCTTATTCTGCAAAGGTCAGTGAATAAATCAATTTAACTGCGACATTTTTGGAGTAAGACTCGGATGTTTACCAGGATGGATGTCACCCTGGAATGCAGAAGAGCATGTCTGGGCGGCTAACGGCGGTCCTACTAGCTAGTAGCGCGGGCAAAAACCAATCTGGGAGCAGCTCTATCAGGCGCCGTGCCGATGCTGACGACTTGGGTGACTGCTCTCAGGAGAGTTTTATGGCAAGCGCAACGCACCCGTGAGAATACAAGTGGCTTAGTCAGCGGGAAAATATTTGGGTACTGGCCGCTTGTGTCAATTTTTTCCATATGATGCACGGAAGTGTAAGACAGGTTTAGGTGGTGTGCGCTGCTATCAGGATACAAATTCAGGGTAAGTCATTGACGACTATTCTGAAGCACCATCCCATTGGATGCTTTGGCGAGGATAGCCGGCAGATCCTTCACTTTACTCGCAACCGACCCGCACCATCAACAATTCGTGCCATTCTCTGCCTTGGAGTCTAGGCCCTGGGGCAGAAGTGATCTTCCGGTGATGGAGGACCTTCTAGCCTCTGTAAGGACTCAAAAACGGAAGCGAAACGAAGTCGAAGCTGAGAAGCACTGATAATCTATTTGACTGTTTTTAAAACTTAATACACTCTTCTTGGGCGGGGTGCGACCCTCGGTGTTCTGATCATGTAAGCGTTATAAGGCATCACCTGACCATACATGTTTCGTGCTGTTTTGTTGATGTCAAGTTATTGCTGATTTCATGGTCCTACTCACAGGGACCAGTTTTCCACCACTACTTGATCTCCTGCCGGGTTCGAACAGACAACTCGCTGGCTCCCCCCTGTGCTTAAATCACGCCTCCTCCACATCCGTAGCGCCCAAAATCACGGGCCCAGCAGCGAATTTAGCCCAGAGTGACCACCCCGTTGGCACTGTGGCCTTCTTTCAGTCGCCACTACGCCATATCGATGTTCATTCAACGACAAAAACGGCCCGTAAGGAAGACCGTCGGATGCTGGTTACGAAAACATACATGGCGAATACAAGGCGCCAGCTTCCGTGGCTGACGTGGGAAGTGACACGCTTTTGGCTGCTTCCTATAAACATGCAGACTCTGGAAGGAACAATGAGGAACAAGGGGAACAACGTGCCAGTAGCCGCATATGTGACCATAGCACTCTGATATCTGATATCGGACCCACATCACCAAAGGTAATTACAGCATTGATCCTATTCAATGACTTGACATTGAGACATACAGTACTGCAGTCACGGCTACACTTTGTTATGTGGATTTGGCGCGAAACGTTGGGCCATCTGGAAAGCTGCAACATTGAGCTGGACCGTCACGCAGAGACGCAAAACATTATTGAAGCCGTCGAATATGAAATGATTTGATGGAACCTCTGTTACGTGTTACGAACTTACCAAGTTTTGGAACAATTGGGGTTGTTACGGGACAAGCTCGGACATTCACCTACATGCAGTAACTGTGAAAATGCATAAAAACGCCCAGTACCCCGACACGCACGTCGCATCTCTGCAGTTTAGAGCAAGATGCCTACCACAAGTCCACCTCCACCCTACTCGACACCGTCACTTTACACAAAAACGGCGAACACAGCGCAGTCCATCATTCCGACGACCACACCCGTTCGAGTATTTGAAGCCCATGAAGATGCCGTATGCGCAGTCGCAGTCTTCCCTGATAGACAACGTATGGTGACGGGCTCGAAGGACAAGTCACTTCGTCTGTGGAACTTGAAGAACGGGACCGCGCTGAATAAATTGGAGGGACATCGCAGCTGGGTGCAGGGATTAGCAGTATCACGGGACGGGCAATTGATAGCAAGCGGAGGTTTGAACGGAGAGCTTATCGCCTGGAATGGAGAAACTGGAGAGCGTCTCACTCTTCAACCCATCCAAGCCCATAAAACATGGATCCGCTGGATAGACTTCTCTCCAGATCGAGCTCATACGATCGCGACTGGTTCATCGGATACAACGACAAGATTGTGGAACACAACAACTTGGCAACTGCAAAAGCAGATCAATTGTGGCAGTGAAGTTTTCTGCGTTCAGTACTCACCGTCTGGCGGACTTCTTGCCATCGCGACATCCAAGGATATCCGAATCTGGGATACACGCACAATGAAATTTATCGCAAACTTCGAGGCTCATGCTGTGAATTCTAATTCGAAATCATGGAACGTTTCACTCGCGTGGACGCCCGATGGCACACGGCTTCTCTCTGGAGGAGCTTCTCACGATCCCACCGTACGGGAGTGGGATACGTCGACCTGGAAGCAGGTCGGTGTTCCATGGACAGGCCATTCTGACCTGATCTACGCCATTGCCGTGAATTCTAATGGTACCCTGGTCGCCTCTGCATCTCATGACAAACATGTCCGCCTCTGGCGGCTTTCAGATCGACGGACCATCGCCATATTCGAGCATGCCAATTACGTCCTCCGCGTCACCTTTTCCCTGGATGGCAAGCACATCCTCAGCGCAGGCAAAGATACACACATCTCAAAGTGGGCAATACCGGAAGACATGTGGCCTGATTCCAAAGTAAGTACACACCCTTGACTTAAGTATAACAAGGTTCGAGCATACCCCATGCAGCTCCTCACTTTAAACATGACAATCCGCAATGCATTCATAAATAGGGATTTGTCTACTGCTGAAGCGCTGCTAACACAAGCGATTAATGCTGACGCCAACTTCAACTATATTTCTTACGCCAATCGTTCATTTCTTATGGCGCAGAAACTCGACTGGAACCGCGCGCTTAAAGATGCACGTATAGTAAGATACACTGTCCCATCGTCGCCTCCTTACATAAGCTAACTGGTGGCTCACTAGTCTCTCAGCATCCATCCCTCTTTGACTGGCTGCATCTCCCAGGGTATTGCCCTCTGTGGACAAAAACAGATTGAGGCCGCAATGAAAGCATTTGACCTCGCGTTCATGTTCACAGATGGAGATTCGAAGATCATCCATCTTCTTCTGTTAATTAAGGTATGCCAGTATTTTCTCGCATACTCCTTGCTCCTGACCTTTTTCAGGCCATCGCGCTTTTTAATGCAAACCATCACGAGGAGGCGATACTGCGCGTCCAAGAGCTGGGTACCATTTGCCCCAGTGCTGATACTCGTGCTTGTCGTATGGTAGAAGTGAGCACCAACTTGGTCAAGCCCAGTTTGTGCCTCGACGCTGATTGTTTTGAATTTTGCACGTTAGGCGTATCTACATGTCCAACTGGGAATAAATGCATTGAATGACACGCGTCACGACGACGCTGCTGGCCACTTCGCTGCGGCCGTCAATACCAATGCCTTCTCATCAAAATCGGACATTCATTCTGTTCCTTCTATTTACGAGGACTTTGCAGTGGTGTGTTGATTTGATGCAACCGAATATTTTTTTTTGTCTCACTGACCATTTTTCAGCTCTTCGGGTGGGACCTCGAGTCTTTGTGGCGAACTGCAAACCAGAATCTGTGCGACGTACTCCTTTGCGCAGGTAGACTTGAAGAGGCCCACAAATCGTACCGCTACATGATAGATATGAGTGATGAAATTACGAAGGCAAGCTGCCTTGATTGGTCTACTGGCAAGTCTTCAGTAATGTCGCTCAGGCTACAGTCTCACCAACACATCTCGCTTAGATTTCAAGCAAAAATGCAGCAGGCTTTATGGTACAAACGGAGATGCTGCCCTTGCGGCAAGCGATTTCGATAGGGCCATCGAGCAATACTCAGCGGCGATCGAGCTCGATTCTACGACCGATAAAAACTTTGCAAAGCGCAGTAGGGCGAGGTTATCAAAAATGCTTTGGGATGATGCGCTTCTTGATGCGCAAAAGGTGTGATACCATCCAATTTTTCGTAGCTATGGCTAATTTTCGCGATGCGTAGATCATTGAACTCAGCCCTTCGAGTCATCTCGGATACCAGTTAAAGCTTTCAGCGCTTAATGGCGCAAAACGCCATGACGAAGCCATCGAGGTGCTTTCCAAATTGGGCAATGCTCCCAAAACCCAAATAACTAGTAAGTCCCGACTAATATGACTATGAAGTTGTGCGACGTTTTCTCCAGGACTGGACCCGCATTATGTCAATCATATCAAAGCAGGAAATAATATTCACGAGGCCATTCATGCCCAACTCGACGACGCTCCGCTTCGTCTGCTTAATACCTCGACTGGGCGCATTTGCAATCGAGGTGCTCAGATCAATGCCTTCAAATCGAGCGGCGAATACAAGGAGCTTCTGTCATTTACAATGCAGCATGCAGACCGAAAAGAGGACATTCAAAATGTGGTGGCGAAGTACTTCCGTTGCGCCATGCTATCGCATAGGTGGCAGGAGATGGAGCCTCAGCTCACCGATATCCAGGACAAGGCGGTTGACGAGTTGAAGCCAGTTGGTGGCATCGTAAAGTTGCAGTCGTTCTGTAGGACTGCTCGTAATGCGGGGTATCTCTGGGGGTGGATTGATACATGTTGCATCGACCAAACAAACAGCGTCGAAGTCCAAACATCACTTCAATCCATGTTTGGCTGGTATCGCAGCTCAGCACTTACAATGGTCTACCTTTCGGATGTTCCGCCTTCTTCCGAGTCCGGCGCACTCGCAAGGAGTGCGTGGAACACGCGAGGATGGACCGTCCCAGAATTCTTGGCTCCTAGACACATTCGCTTCTATCAAAAAGATTGGACCCTGTATCTCGATGACCCCTCTCCCAATCACAAGGATTCTATCAAGATCATGCAAGAATTGGAGGATTCGACGGGTATAGATGCACGGGCCCTCGTCGCCTTCCAGCCGGGAATGAAAGATGCCCGACAGAAACTCAGATGGGTATCGACACGTGTCACCACGAAGCAGGAAGACGTTGCATACTCGTTGTTTGGCGTATTTGCCGTCCAGCTATCTGTCCGCTACGGTGAGCAGAAGCAAAACGCACTCGGGCGGCTCTTGCAGGAGATCATAGGCCAGTCTGGGGACATTACCGCCTTAGACTGGGTCGGAAAGCCATCCGAGTACAACAGCTGTCTGCCAGCAGACATTACTTCATACAAAACGCCACCACACCCACACCCATCTCTATCTGACGACGAGCTGCACAAATCAGTCTCTTCGCTACGAGATGCTGAAGCTGTACAGTCAGCTTTGGCATTGCGAAAGAAACTTCACACCCTCCCTGCTGCTCGTTTTGGGCAGCGTCGTCTGCATCTGCCTTGCATCGCATTCCCTGTCACCGAAGTCAAACAGAGGCTTGACGAAGGCCAGGAGACACATGTGACGTATGAAGTCAAGGCAACCGGACTTCGAGACCTATTGATCACCACGGATGAGAAGCTAAGTCAGTTCTCGCCAACGAGACCTACTCGACAGAAATTCGTGCTTGTTTATCCGTGGGGTCTCCTCGAGTGGTCTGATTCCGACTTTCCAGACGATACACAGCCCGGATCTCCGGCTGACTCGGAACTGCAAGCGTTGCGATTGACTGTTCGCCTCGGACAGCAGTTTAGCGCATTTTTATTGCAAAAGCACAAGTGGCGCGAAGAATACAGAAGAGTCGCCTCAGATCACAATATTGTTGCACAAGTGAACGACGTGGCTTCTGTTCACAGTATGATGGACATAAGGACAGTAGAGATATTATAGCCGTGATAGTGGGTATCTTGAGGAATTTTGAATTTTACCTTTACATGGACTGTAACTGTACACTAGCTACGCACATAATTTTTCAGGCACTGGTACTATTTACTGAACTGGGAGAAACTAAACACGATCAACCCCACATCCGTTTAGCTTCGGCTATCATGATGTTTGACGCCATCATCCGCAGTAGTTTGGGGGCAGTGATTCAGTCGGATTGTTTTGCCTCTCCTCTTGCGTATTTAAAACCAATCAGTTGTTACTCTAGTACTACGCGGATATCGCAGTGGAAGCAACGTCGATGTCAGAGCTCAAACCTATCATCTTCTATGACATTCCCAGTGTCGTGGAGGGTCAACCATGGTCTCCAAATACGATGAAAACAAGGCATGTACGGTCACGGTTTACCCAGCTCATGAGTTCCTCTTTATCATTAGATTAACATGTCAGTGCACAGATACTGTCTCGCCTTCAAGGGTCTGCCCTTCGAGACCGTCTGGCTCGAGTTTCCGAAGATCAGGCCCTTCTATGAGCAGAATTCTCTTGCACCTACCGCCTTGCGGGACATCAAGGGAATCCCAACACCCGTGTACACACTTCCTGTCATCATGGATCCCAATACGAATAGGTTGATTGGAGACTCCTTTGCGATCGCACAGTACCTTGATGAGCAATACCCCGATACACCGAAAGTACTGCCAAATAACACAGCTGCGCTGGTGCACGTCTTTCACACCGCATTCTATAACGCGACAAAGGGCGTTGTCATGCTGGGCTGTTTTAAAGGTGCTCAGAAGCTCAATTCCGAGAGCAAAGAGTACTATGTTCGTACTCGTCCGGAGTGGTTCGGCATTCCATGGGAGCAGTTTGCACCGCCCGAGAAGAGAGAGAAACAGTGGAGTCTATTGCAGGCTGGATGCAATACCGTGGACGGGTGGTATGCGAAGAGCAGCGGTCAATTTATATTGGGGGATACACCGTGTTTTGCTGACTTCATGGTTGCGGGGCTATGCAAGTGGATACAGTACTGCTTTGAGAATCAGGAGTGGGAAGAACTTAAGAGCTGGAACGGAGGGCGATGGGGGAGACTGGCGGAGGCGACTGACAGGTATCTTGATTGTTCAAAGTAGTTCCGTTGAGCGTGATGCGCTCGGCTTACTTATAAAACACAAATGACACGAGTAGGAAGCAGTTATAATTATGAATCGACGAGTGAAATATTGATACAATATGTGGAGCCATGATGGGGTAAAGGTATGTACTGCGAGTCCAGTTATGATGGAGGCGGGCGACGGAGAATAACAGGGGGTTTTGGTGCGGTGGTGGTCTCCGCTGCAGGCTTCGGCCGCTTCGCCAGAGAATCGTCCGAGGCCAGATCTTCTTCTCGACTACGTTTGCTAGCACCAATGATAGACATTCCTGTGGTACCGGAGGTAGTTGCAGCAGCAGAGGGTGGAGGGCCGCCCCGGCCTCGGATACTGAGGCCTCTCCCAGCGCCGCGCGGTACAACTCTGCCTCGGCCACCTCTAGGGACACCGAGTGGCACCGCACCACTGGTGGGTTGCTTTTCTCCACTGGCAGCTGCAGGTTGACCTATTGAGGCGGCGGCGGCGGCGGCAGGCTTCACAGGTATTGCACTTGCCGCAGTTGTTGACTGTGTAGAAGCCGTGGCTGGTTGTGAAGTAGAAGATGCAGCAGAGGCTGGGGGTGGTGGTGCCTTGGAGGTCGACGCTGTGGGCGTTTGCGGTGGTGGGGCCTCAGGGATCAAACCAGACTTTCGCCACTCCAACACCTGCGCCTCCAGGTCCTTCAGCCTGGCCTGAGATCGAACAAGCTGACCATCTTTGATCTTACTCTTCGCCTGTGATTCCATCCTACCCCGCTCGACCGCCGCATCCAATTCCGCGCTACGTTGAGCTTGGAGCTCTGCGTCATGAGCAGCGATAGCAGCTGCAATAGTGGCTTGCGTTGACTCATCGGAAGAAGTAGCAGGCTCCGCTTTGACAGCCTTAGTGGCAGCGTCTACTGCTGCCTTGAGGGCCGCCTCGTGCTGGGCAGTCAGCTGAGCTCGGAGAGCTTCCAGTTCTTGGGCATGCTTTTTCGATAGTTCCTCAGTGTTTACAGAAGCACCGCCTGCAGTTTCACTCTTGGCCTTCTCGATAGCAGCGGCGACAGTGGCAGCTTGTTCCGTGTTCAACCTGTCCCTGGCTTTCTGCATTTCTTGTATTCTAGCCTGGAATTTGTCATTCGATTGACGAAGGTTCCTGACGTCATCGGAGATCTTTTTCGCCAGCTCGTCTGCGGTCTAAAAAAGCAAGTCGTCAGAGTAGCGACACACAGTCAAAGCAAGTGACCAACATTAGCACGCGTCAACGCCTCATCTCGTGCCTTTACAAGCTCAAGCTTTTCTGATTCCCAGGAGCGCACAGTGTCAGAAGGTGGAGCAGAAGAAGCTTTGATCAGAGCCTCCTTTTCTGCCAAAATCCTATCTCGTTCCTCCCTGAGGGAAGCCTAGATGAATGGGGTAAGCAACGAAACTTTGACTGATGAGAAGAACATACAATGAGCACAACTTGATCTGATGAACCTTCGACCGGCGCTTGGGCCTTCGCAGCCCTTTCTTTGGCCAACGCTTGCTCCAAAGTTGCCTTCTCCTGCCGTAACCTCTCCAGCTGGGAATTCAACTGCTGCGACGCATCAGGTGCCGAAGTGGTGCGCAATGCGTCTCGTTCGGCAGTCAGGGTTTTTATTTTGCCCTCGAGCTCACTGACGGTGGCATTGAGCTGAGACTTCTCGCTGTTAAGCAACCCAAGACTAGATTTGAACTTGTCTACACTCTTCGTATTGCTGTCTTTGTGAATTCTGAAGTTAGCCTCGAGACGTGAGAGCTTGATACTGTGGTTAGAACGGCGTTATCGTCTGGAAAGAAAGTATGTACCCGGGCTTGAATAGTGTTTGCTTTCTCTTCATGTTCCGCAGCCAATTTCTCCGCGTCGGCCTTCTGCGTTTTCAGCGTTTCGATTTCGTCTTTCAATCCTTGGATCTCAGCAGGGTCGGTACGATCATACTTCCAAGGCACGTCAGCTTAAGGAAAGATAAATAGTCCTGAACACTTACTTTGCTCAGCAACTGCGCGTTACGTTCTTGCCAACGGCGGGTCTCTCCCTCAAGACGGGTGATCTGTGCATCTCGGGCTTGCAGCTCTGCTTGTGCGACACGAGCCTGTTCCTTGGCGGGTTCAAGCTCTGCAGACAATGCCCGCAGTTTAGCGTCGAGTTCGCGGGAGCGCTTAGCATAAGTCTCGCAGTCAGTGCGGAGGGTGGCGTTGCTTTCTCGAAGAATGTTGAACTGGTTGATCCTCTCCAACATCTCAGCGTGCTGAGCATCCGAAGTCGCCGCTTCCATCGCCCGTTCTCTCTCCTGATGCAATCGTCATTCATGATTGACGGTGTCCCATTAAAGCAAACGTACCTCAGCAAGGGTTGCTCTGGTCTCTTGCAAACTCTGAGTCAGGTGCTCGATCTGAGCCTTCAATCGGACATTCTCCTGTTTACTGAGCTCCAGCTGGAGATCAACTATCTCTTTCTCCTTGCGCAGGTAAGCCACCACAGATCTGAGCTCTGAAACCTTAGTATCCACATCGCCGCCAACATCCGCATCACCAGCAGTGCCATCGGTAGCAGAAGAGTCTACAGCCTGACGTATGCGCGTAGCTTGGGTACTAACAGTCTCGAGATGTTGATGAAGAAGAGCATTCTGTGCGGACAGATCCTTGGAGCTGTATTTTCCTCAGACAAAGAACCGGTCGGCATCAAGTCAAGAACCCACCGTGCGTTAAGATCAGCAATCTCCTTGTCCAAAGCTTCCTTTTGCTGTCTCCAGCTGCCCTCAGACGCTGCCAGCTTAGCTTGGGCATTGGCAGCTTCTGACAGGTTCTCCCTGGAGGTAGCTTGAGAGACGGAAAGCTGTTGTTTGAGGGTCTCGATGGTCTTGATCGACTCCGCATGGACGATGACTTCGCGCGAGTATCTATCTTCTGCGGCCTGAAAAAGATTAAGAATACGGGTAATAACAATAGAATAATAGCAACTTACAAGCGCCCTTTCCTCCTGCTGGCGAACTTCATTCTCGCGAGATGTACGATCAGTCTCAGAAGTCTTCTCAGAGGTGCTCAGGTCAACGATGGTATCCTCCAAAGTCTTCTTGTCATTAGTCCAAACCAGACGCTCCGACTCAAACGTGCGTTGAAGTTCAGAGAACTTGCCGGCAGACTGTCGCAAATCATCCTCCACACTGCGCAGTTTATCTTGAAGGGCCTTGTACTCGAGCTGTAAAGAGCAATATGAGGACCAAAGCTCTGACAAGTCGAGTGGAGCCCACCTCGTTCTTCGAAATTTGCGCCTCAGTCTCAGTCTTGTATTCGTCGTGCGTAGCATTTAGCGCGGACAGAGCAGTTTCGTTGGCTTGAGAGATCTCTTGGAATTGTTGCATGTGGCTACGGGCAGCTGCAAGATCGACTTGAGCGACCTTCAAAGCAGACCTAGAATGAATTCAGCATGATGCCACAAATAGAGTCCTTGGGCACTAACCGCAATTCCGCGACTTCTTGCTCGAGTTGTTGTTCACGTGGAAGGTCTTGCGCAGTAGGAGCAACACCATTGGCAACCGATGGCCGACGTTCGTACACGGCAAGTTTCTCCTCGTTACCTTGTAGTTGGCGTGTAAGTTGGTCGACACGCTCTTGAAGGTGGACTTTGCTGGTTTCTGCACCGACGAGAGACTCCCGGGCTTGAGATAGTTGTTCGGTCTGCAACCTATCAGAACTGGCATATGTCCGAAGAGGAGGTGAAACATACCGTCTTGTCCAGGCGGGTTTGCAGGTCCTTTAAGTCGATATCCTTCTGAAGTGTAACGTGGCGGACTGCATCGCGCTCCTGCAAGAGCTGAGCCTTCATGTCTTTCCTGTGGTGGCCAATTAGTCTCTTATGACATCGAGAGAGTACAATCAGTTCCGCACGTCTGGTCATCCATCGTCTGGATTTGGTTCTCCAGACGCCGGCGGTCATTTTCTCCCGAACGTTCAAGATCGCCGTGCATCCTCTGCACATTGGCCATAAGATCAGCCAGGTGAGACCGCTCCACGGAAAGGGTCTTGTTCTCCTGTACCAGGCGGACTTGGACAGACTTGAAATAACAATACTCAACACCACGTTCCTCGACAGCAAAAAACGCTCACCTCCCATATCTTCTTCTCCGCACGCAGGTTAGCATTGTCATTCCGCAACTGCTCGACACGGCTATTGGCCTCCGACAATTCGTGCTGGGCCCGATTACACTCGACATCAATCCGGATATACTGGTCGTAGAGTTGCTGATTGCGCTTCGTCAAGTTGTCGATATCGCGGGTATGTAGCGCTGTTTCGTCCTGGCTCATACGATGACGGTCTTGGAAAATCTAAACGACAGAAAGCAGGACACAACAATGAGAGTGCTTACCAGCGAGATTTTCAATCTTTGCATTCGCCTTCGCAAGCGCAACATTGACCTGCCCGAGGTCGCGATGCGCTTGCTGTAACTCCTCTCGAAGCTTCACAGAGTCCATTCCCATCTCAGCTTTATAGGCCTCAAATTGAGCTTGCACGTCTTCAAGTTCTGCAGCTAGATTGTCTTTGATGGGACCAGAAATGCCGTTAATGTCGCCGTTGACACCCGGATGGAGTCCCGAGCGCTCAGCCCGCGCAAGCATTGCTTTCAACGCATCCCGCTCCTTCATGTACGCCTGAATAGTCATATCGCTGCTCTTCTTCTGTCTCTCGAGCTGTGCGGCCAAATCCTGAATTGCCTCGTGCGCCTCTCTCACAGCTTCACTCTGCTCTTGCTCAAGTGCTTCACGGTACTCACGCTCCTCTGCCTCCATTTTCGCGCCAAGTTCACGAACGATCTTGAGTAGCTTCTGGTTCTGCTCTTGCAGCCCACCGATGCTGCGGAACAACACGAGGTTGTTGGTGATGACCGCGTCGATGTTTTCAGCTGGTAGGGGGTCCATTTCTTCCATTTCCACATCCGTGGGCAAAGACGGGTCTGTGCGTCTCCCGAGTTCCTTGAGCAAAGTTTGAACTTGCCGGCCCAGGTCATCGAGCTGTCGTTGCAGAAGCTCATTCTCTGAGTGCGATTTCTTCAACTTCTGCGAAGCTTCTTGGAATGCGTTTGAGTTAGCTTCTCGTTCGGCGAGCGCGGTCGAGAGTTGTGAGGCAAGTTGTGCGGCTTCAGATTGTAGGCGGTCGTACTCTTCCCGTTGTTGTGATAGAATGGGTGCCTAGACAGATGATCAGACTACTGTCTTAATGACATGGGAATGCAACTTACCCGTTCCTCGATCTGAGCCAACACTGCAGAAAGCGTTCTGTCCATGTGATCATACTCGGCTGACTTCTTTGCTAGTTCATCCTGCAAGCGTACGTAGTCGGCATAGACCTCGGTGAAAGTCTTGCCAGTCTTCTGCGCCCTGCTGACCATTGCGACCGTCGGGCTCAAACCGAGCATACCTTCCATTCCGGCCCCTTGGGCAAGATTACGAGCGGGCGTGGATGGGGTTCCTGGGACAGGAGTTCCGCGGGTGGCGACAGGCAATTCACCACGGTTCATACGTTCAAGGACAGTCTCAAGTTGGTCGACCTTTCGTTCCGCTTCCTCTCGGGCCCGCTTCTCCCTCTCGACTTCAGCATGCAGGGCAGCCTCGCGACGCTCAGCGCGTTCACCGACACCTGCCCATTCGCGTTCAATGCCTTCGACGATCTCCTTTGCCTGCTTCTCGCGCTCTTCCATAATGTTTACTAGTCGTCGCAGTCCGGATGCTTCACTGGTGAACGCTGCTTCCTGTTCCGCAAGCTGTCCAGTCAAATCCTGTACGCGTGCAAGAGCCTGCGTGAGTTGGTGTGTTTGAGATGAGTGCGCGCTCTGGAGAGCTTTGAATGCGCTCTCCGATGCTGAGTGTTGTTGAGTGAGTGAGTCATGTGCGGCTTGAAGAGTCGCGGACTCGGCATGTTTCGTGCGTCGGTATTTAGCGTGTTCTTCGATTTTGGAGGACAACTCGGAGGTGACACGCTCGACTTCGGACTGTGAAAGTTCGAGTTGCTGCGTTAGAGAGTCGATCTTGAACTGAAGGTGTGTTAGGTAAAAGAAAGCTACATTTCAGGTAGGAGTATACGTGCCTTGTTGGACGTTTCTGATGAGCTGAGTTCGCGCACTTGGGCCTCCTGGGTTTGGTGTTCTTGACGTGCTTGTCGAAGGCTGTTGCGCAAATTTTGTATCTCATCTGAAAAGTATCAACTACGAATTCATGAGAAAAGTTCAAATTACGTACCGTCGCGCTGCGTTGCATCTTCCTTCAACCTATTGACCACACCCATAAGGTCACGTTTTTCGCGTTCAGCGTCTTCGACACGATGTTTCAATTGATCAAGCTCCGTCGACGAAGAGGACTGCGAGGTGCTAAAATTTGATATCTGTGCTTCTAAGCTGCTCTTCGATACAGCTCCAGGAAACATAAGCTTTGAATAGACTGACGGTAGAACTATACATACCGAGCTGCTCCTTTTCTTGCCTCGTGACTGTGAGCTGATTCTGAACATTTTCAAGAGAAGATTCAAGACTTTTGGTCTTGTTCTCCGCATCTTGATATGCCTGGTCCAATTCTATTTCCCTCCGTTCAACCTCTGCTCTCGCCTCCTCTAGGTCTCTCTGAGTGGCATTGGTTTCGGTGACTTGTGCGAGTAGTAATCTGTACACAGATACTATTGTCTCAGGGGTTGGGGTAGCAAATGAGACTTCTGGTATCAAGCTTGAAAGTTCTTCCACATCGATGTCGATAGGTAGTGGGACGCTGAATGGTTGCGGATGGCTGAACTCGTCTGTTCCTTGTGTTGATGCGCCGTCGTGGTCGTGGTGAACGGCTGCGGCAGCAGCGGCCTTGCTTTTTCGCCTTGTGCCCACCATGTAATATGGGGAGGGACGAGCTGAGCTTTAGCCTGAATCAAGTCTTGAATGAATAAATTGCAGACAATGCGAGGCCTGCGTTGGACTCCCACGCCACGACTTATGCATACTGACCTTCCTTTTTGAGATATGATAGTTCTGCTCTTTACTACTTGCTCGCAACCGTGATCGTCCAAGTGCTGATCGTCCTTCTCACTTATCATGTCTTTCTTCAATTCAATAGGGTGAGCTCATGGTCATAGTCCTAAAACCATCTAAAATGTCGTCCTAGTCGTTCCATGTCGCGTACACCTCGCGGACCAAAGCGTTCGCCTACACCAACCTCTTCGACGTTCTCGTCTGACATGCCACCCCCACCTGTGCCTGCGTCTCCAGTCACACCTGGCGTCCAAAAACCCCTTTACCTGTGCAGCCCATTCGTAGAGGCAGCACTCGTCAAAGGCAACTTCAAAACCATCGTCGTTCTTCCAAAGTATGTCGACATCATGGAGTGGGTAGCCGTCAATGGTATGTCTTTCAGTCCCACTTTACCGAGCCATCTCAAATGGCGCGTTAGTCTTTGACTTTTATACCAACTTGAACGAGTTTTATGGCGTAATCTCGGAGTGCTGTACGCAACAATCATGTCCGACCATGTCTGCTGGACAAAAGTACGTATCTTCATATTCCAAGCGTGTTGGTTCATAACGCCCTGCAGTCTCAACTATACATGGATCAATCAAGATCGCAAGAGCGTCCATCTTGCTGCACCCACATACATCGACTACGTCATGACATGGATTCAAAACCTTCTCGATGATGAAAATGTTTTCCCCACAAAGTCTGGTAAGAACTCTCTTGCTGCACCCACCTCCCTCTGTAACCATTCCTGCACAGGACATGACTTCCCGCAATCCTTCCCTTCGACCGTCAAACACGTTTACCGTCAGCTCCTTCGCGTATTCGCACACATCTACCACGCCCATTACTCTCAAATCCTCCATCTCCGCTCAGAGCCCCATTTCAACTCCCTCTTTGCTCATTTTCTCGCATTCGGCCGAGAATATGAACTGTTGGACATCAAAGATGTGAAGGGTGCTGCTAATTCACCCGTCGGCACTGGTATGCTTTGGGAGAAGTGGAGGGAAATGGGAATATTAGAAGGTTAGAATGCTTGCGGGCCAAGTATACGCGGGGCAGTGGGTATTTGATTTTGTTCTTCATTCACTCCGTTGTATTAGTGTTGACAGTCTGGAATTTATGTTCATTTTCATGCCGTGGTTTTGCGCAGAAAGATTGGAGCCATATCAGAGTGCCACTTGTGGGCTCGTAATTGATGGAGTATATTCGACCATGAATTATCCGGATCCGAAGAAGACAAAACTGCCATACCCCAACCTGTTCTGTGTTCGTATCGATACCGTTCAATTCTGGCAATCTCAGAGGGATAGTTTTTTCAATGGTCGTGTTGCTGATGAAGTTCAGGGGCAGCAAGCAAGAATCACTTCGGTGAGTATCGTACATTCATCTCAGCTTGTGCTCCGAGTCATGATTCAAGACTGCGATTCAGAGACAGTACTATTAAAATTTCTTGCGAATGTACTGGATGTCTTGCGACGGTCAATGATGATCTACGTGAGGATCGATGGCAGACTGAACGCTGTACAGACATCGAAGTTTGGAAGGCGGCCGCAGTGGAAGCCATGTACGTAAGAACGTACAATGTATTCCGATTTCCGAAGTGATCGCCATAAACTTGATTGACTTGGTAACATTGCTCGGCTCGGCATATGTTTATAAACTTCAGAGTCACCCAAGTCGTCAGCATCATGATCAACACATGGCGCCTGATAAAGCTGCTCCCAGATTAGTTCTTGCCCGCGCGACCAGTAGGACTGCCGTTAGCCGCCCACTGGCAAATATGCTGATCTTCTGCATTCCAGGTGACATACAATCTGCGACGCAAATCCACCTGGTAAACATCTTACTCCAAAAATGTCGCAGTTGAATTGATTTATTCACTGACCTTAGAGTGGCGCACGCAACCGCAAGAGACGGGCGCTCCGTATCATCCGCGATATACCATTTTCCCCCACTGAAGTGGCCTCGGCCCCCCTGCCTAATTATCGAATTATCACGGCATGGACTGGACGTAACTCATCTCCGTGAAAGGCTGGACTTTCGCCTTCAAGCTGTTTAATATCTGCACCCTGTTCACTGCTGACGCTAATTCATAAACACCGATGCCGGGGAATCACTCTCGGAGGTCCCTACAGCAAGCCGATGAACTTCGTAGGTCATCGCTGCCACAGACATGACTATAAAGATCCCAATAGATCTCATGTCGAATCCAACACAACAATGAACGCATCTACCATCGCTACACTAGCTATACCCTCACCACTGAGTCTCTGGACGACCGCACGGTCGTTTGGCGCACTCAATCTCGCTGGGTCATTTGCTGCACTATGGGCTCTTGTCAAAGTCCTGGCGGCGCTTCGCTGGCGATTCAAGACGACTCAACTCCGGGGTCCACCTCGTACCAGCTTGGTATACGGCGTTTCGCACGACCTCGGCTCATCTAATGATAGTGGTGCAATGTATGAACATTGGGCGGAGGAATATGGGGTAGCGTATATGATTCCGAGCATCCTCGGACAAACCAGCATCGTGCTGTGCGACCCAAGAGCTATAGCACATTTTCTTGCCCGAGAGTCATGGACGTATTTGCAGACGTCCCTTTCGCTGGCACTTTTAGAGGGATCAGTATGTTAAAGTCCTCTTCTTACTTACTTGATCTATCTGATACATCTTGTCAGATCGGCAAAGGGCTACTATGGGCTGAGGGTGAACACCACAGAAGGTGCTGTTCAGTTCTTGTCCGAGCGCCAGAGACTAATCGACCATCTGCGAATCAGGCAGCGGAAGGCTCTTACGCCAGCTTTCAGCAATGCAGCCATTCGGAAACTCACGCCAGTGTTTTATGACTCAGCGTACAAGGTAAGGATTCACAATGCGGGAAATGTATCTCTGAGCTTGATACTTTACAGGTCAAAGATGCATGGGACACCATTATAGAATCGAGCAAAGACGGGAATGCTGTCATTGAAGTTCAAAACTGGTGCGTAGCTTTTCTGGCTTGACAAAGTAGAATTCCTCATCGAAACAACTCCAAGGATGAACCATATATCGTACGTGACGATTTTTTTGCCATCCAAGTCTCGAAAATGACGCAATATCAGTCTGGATACGATTGGCATCGCTGGTTTCTCCCATGATTTTGGCTCGCTCGATGGAAAGCGCACCAGCGTGACCGAAATGTTTGACACTTTCGGAAACAACCCACAAGCCTCAGCAGTGAACGAAGCCCCCGTCCTGCTCGCGTCAGCATTTCCGATCATTACCAAGATGCCCAGTAACGGGACGAAGCTGTTTAAGAAGCTTGGCGTAACCTTGGAAAAAATATCGAACGAGTTGTTGATTCGCAGTCGCCGGGAAAAGGATGCGAATGTGAGCGAGAGAGACGAGGAGAAGTCCATCATTGGATTGTTGCGTACGCACTTTTCATGATTCGTCGTATTCCCTTTATTGACGCATTTATCAGTCAAATCTGAAGGCCAGGATGCCGAGCTTCATATGTCCAAAGACGAAGTAGTGGCTCAGGTCCGTGGAGAGTATTACAGCCATTTTTTTCAAGCTGATGTCCTGCAGATGAAGGTATTGCTTCTCGCGGGCTATGAGACGACATCCAGTGAGTTGATTTTGTTTCTGGTGCTATCACATTGACTGATTTTTCCTTGGCAGTCAGTCTTACGGTAAGTCTACTGTCTGATAACATCTGCGCAATCCATTCATATGATGATCAGTGGGCGCTGCTCGAGCTGTCGCAACGCCCCGATGCCCAAACAAGACTCAGAGAGGAACTGTTTGCGTTTGGTGCAGATCCGACATATGACCAATTAAAGGCCAATCTCCCGTTCTTGGATGGGGTCGTTCATGAAGTTCTACGACTCCATCCTCCGGTACGCGAGTTCGTTCGTCTTGTGAGTGCGCCTATCTACATGCGAATAGACACCCTAACAATAGATATACAGGCAGCTGCAGACGACGTCATTCCTTTGAGCGAACCCGTGCGCACCGCGTCCGGGGAAATGACGGATAATATATATGCAGCGAAGGGGACGTTGATCACGGTATCGGTCCCAGCGATCAATCGCTCTGTGGCCATCTGGGGACCTGACGCAAAGGAATTCAAGCCTGAACGTTGGCTAGCTGAAGGGGGCATCAACGGGAAAGCCAAAGAAGTCCAAGGTCACAGGCATCTGCTGACATTTACCGATGGTCCAAGGACGTGTCTTGGAAAAGATTTTGCGATTGCGGAATTCAAGGTAATTTCTACGAATCAGCTGGTGTCGACGTTACTCATTGCGATTCAGGCGGTTTTGTTGGTTCTGGTGAAGAACTTCGTGTTTGAGATGCGGGATGGACCGGATACTCAGGTCGAGGTTGCGAAGGGAATTTTACCTCGTCCGCGGGTTGTTGGAGAGGATGGTATCGGGGCACCTTTGAGAGTTCGTCGGTATGAATGAGTGGCTATGTTACACTAGCACATCAGTGAACCGGTGAGTTCTTGCTGGCCATTATGCTGATTGCGGTGCTTTTATATGGTCTTATATTGGTCTTATATTACTTTATATTCCAATGTGACGAAATCCTTTCCTATATGTTACGAATATATGACAATATCTTCTGTTCACCAGTTCTCTTATGGCCAGGTCCAAACATTCACTGCAGAAACGACTTTTTAACCAGAGGTAAAACTAACCCTTTGTATGGGTATAATCCGAGCTAATACCAACCCAAGCTGTAAAGTAGACTAAAACCTGACTTGCGAAGTTTCCGAGACTCCGAGATGTTGGTGAAATATACATCTGAATCTAAGCAGACGTCTGTTACATTCAACATCCATAAACCGGGTCGGGAACGGCGCTTGTTCCAGACCGCGATTTTCTTCTCTTTATACCTTGTATATCTACTACAACCTATTTCGGAAAAGTGTTTATGTTCGAATTCTGACCCTCGACGTGTTCAGGTGAGCTTCTAACTGCTTTTTTTCACCAAGTCCCCGACAAGTTACCATGAACCAAAGCCAAGTAGGGGACGAGCGGGATTCAGCGGGGAAAGGATTTTAGAAGCTAGTCCTCATGATGTCTACCTAGAGTATAATCAGACCATTCCGACATAAAACAGATGCTGAGGATCCTAGAATTCGGATTTGATTCCGCATCAGATTAGGCACCCAGGCACCCTTGGAAACTCGTAAATGAGGATTCGTGTTATGCCCTGGAATGAGCGTCTGTTGCGATCTAATTATAATTCTGAGGTGACATATAGGTTCGAGTTATTAATATCTAACTCCACTCGGTCTGAGCGCTATTTTGTCGTTTCCACAGTGATTGTTATGATTTTGCGGCCCTGCAGGACTCTTTGATAATACGTTGTAGAGTATCGTAATATGCTGTATAGACATGACATATGGCTCGACAACCCGCTTTAATAGATGGTGCGATATACACAATCAAGTGCGTGACCCAACATCGCCCTCGGAGTGTGTTATGGTCACCGGGCCAGTATGAATATGCACAATTTATGTCGACGTCAATATTTGGTGCACAAACTTCGTGGCGTAGTTCGTCGTCGATGCGAAGGTAAAGTCGAATAGATAAGAAACCAACACACCCCGTCGACATCGTACAAATAAGGTAAGTCATATTGCATCTTTTAGGGTTAGCTCCGGTAAGGTCCAGGTTTTAATTTTGATGGGTTACGGCCGTGTCCGATTGGCTGGAGATGCGCTCTTAGATAGTAAATTGGCGCTGATAACATCACAAGACAAACTCTAACTCCTCGCGTACGCTGTACGACGTCACACACTCGGATAAATCAAAGTCTAGACAAACTCTAACCGCTCGCGTACGACACACTCGGGTAAATCAAAGTCTAGACAAACTCCAACTCAGTGCCCGCGTACGACGTCAAGCGACACTAAAAACATTACACACTCGGGTAAATCCGAGAAAGCCCGCTCGACGAGCATTTTCAAGATTTAGATGCCGGGCCTTGCTTGTTCATCACCATCATGATCAAAGTCGTCAACATCACAGGCCTAGTAATAGAGCTGCGCCTGCCCCCAGATTGGTTTCCTTGTCCGCACTGGGACCGCCGTCAGCCCTGTCTTGACTGACGTGTGCTCTCTACGTTATTCCATGCTGACATCCATCCATGTGGTGGTGCCATATTACTCCAAAAACCTGTCAGTTGAATTGATTTATGCCCTAACCTCTGCCGAATCGAGTTGCCCACATGATTGCAAGAGACGGGTGTTGCTTGCCGTCCGCCTTTATACTATTTTCTCCCGCGCTGTTTCAACGTTTTAACTTTCCAGGACTTGGTGGCCCTTAGCCAGGGTTGCGAATCATCATCACGGCACGAACCCAAGGCGACTAATTTCCTCTTAAGGCTGCCTAATATTCACCCAGACTATCACTTTCAAGCTTGAATGGGCTCCATTTGCACCGTATGACACCTTCACTCGTCACTAGACTGATGATTAGCTCGTCCAGGTCCAAGTAGTTTGCAACAATTTCAATTCAGACGCACATTTCGGCTTCTATGAATAAGCACCTCTGACGATAAACGCCAGTGCCGCTGAAACACTCCCGCAGTCAACCCGCAGTCGACAGTTCTTTGACAACAGAAGCCGGCAAACTGCGACGCTAGTCTTGCCGCTGCCACAGATATGGCTATAAATCTCCCAATAGATCCTATGTCGAATCCAACAAAACAATGAACGCATCTACCATCTCTACACTAGCTATACCCTCACCACTGAGTCTCTGGACGACCGCACGGTCGTTTGGCGCACTCAATCTCGTTGGGTCATTTGCTGCACTGTGGGCTTTCGTCAAAGTCCTAGGGGTGCTTCGCTGGCGATTCAAGACGACTCAACTCCGGGGTCCGCCTAGTACCAGCTTGGTATACGGCGTTTCGCGTGACCTCAGCACATCTCCTGATAGCGGTACAATGTATGAACATTGGGCGGAGGAATATGGGGTAGCGTATATGATTCCGAGCGTCCTCGGACAAACTAAAATCATACTGTGTGACCCGAGAGCTATAGCACATTTTTTTGCCCGAGAGACATGGACCTATGTGAAAACGCCCCTTGCGTTGGCACTTACAGAGGTATCGGTGTGTTAAAGTCTTCTTCTTACTTGATCTATCTGATACATCTTGTCAGATCGGCAAAGGGCTACTATGGTCTGACGGTGAAATGCACAAAAGGTACTGATCAGTTCTTGTCCTCGCGCCAGAGACTGATCGAGTACTTGCGAACCAGGCAGCGGAAGGCCCTTACGCCAGCTTTCAGCAATGCAGCCATTCGGAAACTCACATCAGTGTTCTATGACTCAGCATACAAGGTACGGATTCACAATGTGAGACATGCATCACTGAGCTTGATACTTTACAGGCCAAAGGTGCATGGGACACCATTATAGAATCGAGCAAAGACGGCAATGCTGTCATTGAAGTTCAAAACTGGTGCGTAGCTTTTTTGGCTTGACAAAGTAGAATTCCTAATCGAAACAACTACAAGGATGAATCATGTATCGTACGCGATGATTTTCTTTTGCCATTGAAATCCCGAAAATGACGCAATATCAGTCTGGATATCATTGGCATCGCTGGTTTCTCACATGATTTTGGCTCGCTCGATGGAAAGCACACTAGCGTGACCGAGGCGTTTGATACTTTCGGAAACAACCCACAGGCCTCAGCAGTTAACCAAGTTTTTATCCTGCTCGCATCAGTGTTTCCTATCATTACCAAGATCCCCACTAAGCGGACGGAGCTGTTCTTGACACTCAGTAAAACCATAGGAGAAATATCGAACGAGTTGTTGATTCGCAGTCGCCGGGAAAAGGATATGATCATGAGTGAGAAAGACGAGGAGAAGTCCATCATTGGATTGTTGCGTACGCACTTCTCACGATTCGTCGTATTCCCTTTATTGACGCAACGATCAGTCAAATCTGAAAGTGATGATGCCGAGCTTCATATGTCCCAAGAGGAAGTAATGGCTCAGGTCCGTGGACAGTATCACAGCCATGATTTGCAAGCTGACGTCCCGCAGATGAAGGTCTTGCTTCTCGCGGGTTATGAGACGACATCCAGTGAGTTGATTTCTCTTACGGTGTTATCACATCGGCTGATTTTTCCTTGGCAGTCAGTCTTACAGTAAGTCGACAGTCTCATAACGTCTGTGCCGCTATTTATGTGATCATCAGTGGTCGCTGATTTACCTATCACAACACCCCCGACGTCCAAACGAGACTCAGAGACGAATTGCTCGCGTTTGGTGCTGATCCGACATATGACCAATTGAAGGCCAATCTCCCATACTTGGACGCAGTTGTCCATGAAATTCTACGACTCCATCCTGCGGTACCCGAGTATGCTCGTCTTGTGAGTGCGTCTGTCTTCACGCGAATAGACACACTGACATTAGATATACAGGCAGCTGAAGACGACGTTATTCCCTTGAGCGAACCTGTGCGCACCGCGTCCGGGAAAATGACGGACAGTCTATCTATAGCGAAGGGGACACTTTTTACGATATCAGTTGCATCGATCAATCGCTCTTTGGCCATCTGGGGACCTGACGCAAAGGAATTCAAGCCTGAACGTTGGCTGGCTGAAGAGGGCATCGGCGGGAAGGCCAAGGACGTCCAAGGTCACAGGCATCTGCTGACATTTGTTGACGGCCCAAGGACGTGTCTTGGAAAAGATTTTGCAGTTGCGGAATTAAAGGTGATTGCTACGAATCAGCTGGTGTCGACGTTACTCATTGCGATTCAGGCGGTTTTGTTGGTTCTGGTGAAGAGCTTCGTGTTTGAGATGCGGGATGGACCGGATACGAAGGTTGAGCTTGGGAGGGGGATTTTACCTCGTCCGCGGGTTGTCGGAGAGAATGGTATTGGAGTACCTTTGAAAGTTCGTCTGTATGAATGATTGACTACGCTGCACTAGCAGGTTCGTATATTGCTATGTTTTCCTCAAAAATACGCCGCCGGGACGCCTATATGGCACGTTGTATTCAGATTAGATGTGGTGCGCATGCTTGGTATTGTAATAGTTCTGTCATGTCAGACTGTATGGCTGGTAATGTAATTATATATGCTGAATAAATCAATTGAGTCTCCCGCGGGAAGTGGCGCGTAAGAATGAAGAATTTGTACCATTAGTTCTTGTAGGTATTACTTAGGTACGAGCGAGCAAGATCATTGAGATCTTGAGACAGCACGGTGCAATGATGGTGATTTCTACGCGTGTGGGGTCAGAGATAAACTTGTCAGCAATTCATCGATCGTCTGACGAAGAAAACCGACTGTTTTACATGGCACTAAGGCCTGGCGTTCTCGAATGTACTCCCAGATAACATGCGGCACCGACATCCAAGAGCTTGGCCCTGGCAGGGTAGACAGACCATAAGGGCATTCACGCGCTTTGAGATGCGAATTGGGGGCACTAGGGGCCCCCTAGACTAGATAGTACTGTCCTCCTTAGAGTACATCTCTCCATAGGACATAAATTGGAATTAAAAATAAATAAAAAGACAGACCATAGATGAATGAATGAATTCGTTCTCAATCTAAAAGTGTTGTGTGCGCACATATACTGACGGAATGCATATAAGCCTTGCCAATCTCCAGCAAGCTCTGTGGAGTCAGGCACTTGGGCCCAAAATGGTGATCGTCTTGCCTTGTACAGCGACCGCTGCAAATTGACCATTCAGTATGCTGATGGGCTCACGACATAATGATGACGCTAACAGCTGACGGACTGGTCAGGTTCAAGCACTCGATGGAGCCCTGGTACAAACCCGAATTCGTTCCCCCGAGTATAAGCATACTACCCGGGGCAGAATTGGTTGAGATGGCGTTCGAGGTTGGAAGAGAACAAGGGTTCTGAAAGATCGTTGCCGTTATACAGGGATTGTAAGAAAGGGGTAGTCTGGAGAGCAGAAATCGAGGCAAACCCGAGACCCATGATACCTAAGAGCCCATCGTCAATCAAACCAGAGGTAATGTCACTCACAGCGACTATCATCAAAATAAGGTTAGGTCTGAACCAGACTAAGTCGCCCTGATCAACATACGTAGTTCCTGAGACATTTCGAAAGACCCGAAGGTGACGCTATCTTGAGCGACAGTGCCTCGCGCAGATCCTGAGCCATAATCCATCTCCAGGAGGGAGGAGGTAGCCTTGTATATCGATGATTGTGAGGGGTTACAGTCGGGTACATTCGATCCGCAAGAGGTGCATGAGGTTGTTGCAACTCAAAGAGCCAGTATCGAGCACAAGATTGAAGTTCTGCAGTCTCTACAGAACGAATAAGATTATTGCCATGTTTCGAACTTGAACTTATGGAGTTCCAATGCTCACAACACCTGAGTAACTGGAATCGTTTCCCTAATACAACAATGGTCAATTGCGTGAATTATATGAAGGCTCGAGCTGCGAACCTCGTCCGTGATGGGAATTGCAGCAGTAATTATATGGTTTTCATCAAGTAAAATTTTGAAAGCTCGTCCGGGACGTTCAGGATGTTCAGCCGGCATGGACAGACGGACGACCCGACCTTTCGCGGATTCTGACTTCTACGACACTGCACGACTCGGGAGTCTTCAAAGTTCTGACCCCATGGCTGGTGCTCGCTTCGAGGTAGAATTAAAATCAAGAACTCCAGACACTGAAGCGAACAGCCACTGTTCACACAAGTCGACGGAGATAGCTCTGAACGAGATATCAATAATAGTTGAAGTTTGAAAACAGGTGGTGGAAAGTGGTGCAGCAGATCGTCATCAGCGTAGCTCCAACGCAGCTCGAAGGACTCGGGATTGCATATACGAGGTAGGAGACGGGTAAGGAGACGGAAGTTCTCCATAGATATCTTTTGAGCTTTTTCGAGTATGGGTAGTCAGGAAGAGACGCGTCGCTGGCGAAGTTCAGGGATGTGGGGTCTCCTTCGAGGTACCTAAGTTCCGGGGAGCATGCAACAATCTCTTCGGCGAGTTTTGCATAAGCAGGTACACCCGGGTCGCTGAGCCATAACTGAACACGACACATGAAATGGAGGCGGTGGGCAGGGTGATATCCACTGAAGCTCTCGCACACGGTAGGTGAGGCGAGTCGCACAATGGATTATCCCTGTACATACTCATTCTTGCAGCCTCGGACCAACCTTTTGATACGAGACTGCAGCTGAGCAGGACATTCACCATCTCCCTCCAAGGATCAATATGGGTCTCGCCTTACTTCCGCCGTGGTTGTAAGATAAGACCCAGGATTTCAGCTGGTAATACTGGTAAAGGTGAGATGGCATAATGCTGACCGAATGATTTATCGCGACTCTCTCCGATCACCTGAGCTTGTCCTCCGGGTCTTGTGGTCTCGGAGTGCTCATTCAAAAGCGATTCAGAGACAGTGGATGTTTTGCAAATCCACCGTGTTGCCGTCGATGATGATAAATGGAAAGATCAATAATAGACTGAAGTTCGGAAGCCATGTACGTAAGAACATGCAATTGCTTGTTCATCACCGTCATCATAATCAAATGTCTAGCTCGGAATCATCGGGATTCGGGTGTATGTCTAAAAACCTTTGACAAGTGCATAGTGCCCCAGTCATCCAAGTCGTCAACATCACACGCTAGAGCTGCGCCTGCCCCCAGATTGGTTCTCTTGCCCGCACTGGGACCGCCGTCAGCCCTGTCTTGACTGACACGGTGTGCTCTCTACATTATTCCATGGTGACATCCATCCATCCATGGGTGCCATATTACTCCAAAAACCTATCAGTTGAATGGATTTATGCCTCAACCTCTGCCGAATCGAGTTGCCCACGGGATTGTAAGTGACGGGTGTTGCTTGCCGTCTGCCTTTAATATCATTTTCTCCCGCGCTGTTCCAACTTTCCAGGACTTAGCCAGGGCCCAGGGTTGCGAATCACCACGGCGCGAACTTAAGGTGACTTATCTCCTTGTAAGGCTGCCTAATATTCAGCCAGACTATCACCTTCAAGCTTGAATGGGCTCCCGCTTAATATTTGCACCGTATGACACCTTCTTCACTCGTGTAGACTGATTAGTTCGTCCAGGTCCAAGTAGTTGGCAACAATTTCAATTCAGACACACGTTTCGGCTTCTATGAATAAGCACTGCTGACGATAAACACCGGTGCCGGGGAATCACTCCCGCAGTCAACAGTACAGAAGCCGGTGAACTGCGTGGTTCTTGCCGCTGCCACAGACAATGCCTATAAATCTCCTAATTGATCCCATGTCGAATCCAACACAACAATGAACGTATCTACCATCACTATACCAGCTTTACCTTCTCCACTAAGTCTCTGGACAACCGTACGTTCGGTTGGCGCACTCAACCTCGCTGGTTCATTTGCTGCGCTGTGGGCTCTTGTCAAAGTCCTAGGGGTGGTTCGCTGGCGATTCAAGACGACTCAACTCCGGGGTCCGCCTCGTACCAGCTTGGTATACGGCGTTTCGCACGACCTCGGCTCATCTCATGATGCCGGTACAATGTATGAACATTGGGCGGAGGAATATGGGGTAGCGTATATGATTCCGAGCGTCCTCGGACAAACTAGAATCATACTGTCCGACCCGAGAGCTATAGCACATTTTTTGCCCGAGAGACATGGACCTATGTGAAAACGCCCCTTGCGTTGGCACTCACAGAGGCATCAGTATGTTAAAGTCCTCTTCTTACTTGATCTATCTGATACATCTTGTCAGATCGGCAAAGGGCTACTATGGTCTGAGGGTGAAACCCACAGAAGGTGCTGTTCAGTTCTTGTCCTCGCACCAGAGACTGATCGACTATCTGCGAAACAGGCAGCGGAAGGCCCTTACGCCAGCTTTCAGCAATGCAGCCATTCGGAAACTCACATCAGTGTTTTATGACTCTGCATACAAGGTACGGATTCACAATGTGAGACATGCATCACTGAGCTTGATGCTTTACAGGTCAAAGGTAAATGGGACACCATTATAGAATCGAGCAAAGACGGGAATGCTATCATTGAAGTTCAAAACTGGTACGTAGCTTTTTTGGCATGAAAATTTCGCACTCCTCATTGAAACGACTTCAAGGATGAATCACGTCGCGTGAGTGATATACTTTCGCCCTTCAAGCATCGAAAATGACACAACACCAGTTTGGATACGATTGGCATCGCTGGTTTCTCCCATGATTTTGGCTCGCTCGATGGAAAGCGCGCTAGCGTGACCGAGGCGTTTGATACTTTCGGAAACAACTCACAGGCCTCAGCACTTAACCAAGCTTTTATCCTGCTCGCATCAGTGTTTCTTATCATTACCAAGATCCCCACTAAGCGGACGATGCCGTTCAAGAAACTTAGTACAACCATGGAAGAAATATCGAACGAGTTGTTGGTTCGCAGTCGCCGGGAAAAGGATGCGAATATGAGTGAGAGAGACGAGGAGAAGTCCATCATTGGATTGTTGCGTACGCACTTCTCATGATTCGTCGTATTCCCTTTATTGACGCAACGATCAGTCAAATCTGAAAGCCAGGATGCCGAGCTCCATATGTCCGAAGAGGAAGTAGTGGCTCAGGTCCGTGGAGAGTATCACAGCCATGATTTGCTAGCTAACGTCCTGCAGATGAAGGTCTTGCTTCTCGCGGGTTATGAGACGACATCCAGTGAGTTGATTTCTCTTATGGTGTTATCACATCAGCTAATTCTTCCTTCGCAGTCAGTCTTACGGTATGTCTACTGTCTCATAACGTCTGTGCCGCTATTTATGTGATCATCAGTGGGCGCTGATCCACCTATCACAACACCCCGACATCCAAACGAGACTCAGAGAAGAACTGCTTGCGTTTGGTGCTGATCCGACATATGACCAATTAAAGGCCAATCTCCCATACTTGGATGCAGTTGTCCATGAAATTCTACGACTCCATCCTGCGGTACCCGAGTTTATCCGTCTTGTGAGTGCGCCTGTCTTCATGCGAATAGACACACTGACAATAGATATACAGGCAGCTGCAGACGACGTTATTCCATTGAGCGAACCTGTGCGCACCGCGTCCGGGAAAATGACGGACAGTATATCTATAGCGAAGGGGACAATTTTTACGATATCAGCCACGGCGATCAATCGCTCTGTGGCAGTCTGGGGACCTGACGCAAAAGAATTCAAGCCTGAACGTTGGCTGGCTGAAGAGGGCATCAGCGGGAAGGCCAAGGACGTCCAAGGTCACAGGCATCTGCTGACATTTATCGACGGCCCAAGGACGTGTCTTGGAAAAGATTTTGCAGTTGCGGAATTCAAGGTGATTGCTACGAATCAAGCTGGTGTGGACGTTACTCACTGCGATATAGACGGTTTTGTTGATTCTGGTGAAGAATTTCGTGTTTGAAATGCGGGATGGACCGGATACGAAGGTCGAGGTTGGGAGGGGGATTTTACCTCGTCCGCGGGTTGTTGGAGAGGATGGTGTTGGAGTACCGCTGAAAGTTCGTCGGTATGAGTGATTGACTACGCAGGTTCGAATATTGCTATGTTTTCCTCACTTATTCGCCGCCGGGACTCTTAGATGGTACATTGTATTCAGATCAGATGTGGTGCGCATGCTTGGTATCGTAATAGTTCTGTCATGTCAGACTGTATGCCATGAAGGGCTGGTAATGTAATTAATGCTGAATAAATCAATCGAGTCACCCGCGGGAAGTGGTAGAAGTTCGTAGAACGAAAGCAATGACTTGAATCATTGGTTCCCTCTCATTCCTGATAGGATAGAAGGTTAGATCTACGTGTGTTTACTTGTGAGCTAGTAGCTATAGACACCCCGCGCTTCACTAAGAAGTGACTTTGCATGCATATAGATACACTTTCACAATGCGGGGCAAGCATGAGAAGTTAGGATTGTCCATGAGGCATGATGGCTGTTCAGGATCATATATCTGCAAATCGTATGGTAGTCTGTTCATGCACGCGACTGTGGTGTTACATTCAGTAAAGAAACGACGTATCCGAATCGTACTAAGAAAGACAAGGAGGAGGGGAATATCAAACATCAATTTGCCAAGGTATTATGTAGGACAAATCTCGTTCAACTGGATACCACGAGCAGCACAAGTCTGCGTCAGCTCATCTTGCCACTGCCGCGAGGCACGCTCGAGCACGCCCCAGGACTCCAGACTGGAGAACGGCCCTAAATGCAAGTCCAGTGACTGTAGGGAGGGCTGCCAACCCGACTGCAACAGGGTCCGGAGTTCACGTACACGCGCGACATAGGGTGAGAACGCGAATGTCTCCAATGATGATTGTAAATTGAGCAAATGTTCTGTTTTGAAATCCCATCCGTCAATGCGAAGCCTTCGCAGTCCTGCCAACCCAGATATGACTTTGATAGATTCTGGGTCGCTCTTCGTTTCGTAATGAAACATACTCTTGATGTGAAGCTCCCTCACAGAACCTCCCATGACTTCAATCAAGTGTTGCAGGTTCGAGCCTACTTCCTCCACCTTCAAGGACTCAACACTTTCGGAAGAGGATGCGAATAGCCATTTGCACAGGCCAGGAGATAATTTTGTCCGAGATATCGATAATTTCGAAAGCTTGAAGCTAGGCGGCTCAAAGCAATCGTTCAGCATATCGCTATCACCGCAGCTCTGAAGCATCTCGAAGGACTTGAGATTGCATAGATGAGGTAGGAGAGGGGCAAGGAATTTGAGGTTCTGCTCAGATACTTTGAGGTACGTCAAAAATGGGTACCTAGGATAGGACATGGTGCTGGTGAAGTCCAGGAGACCACAATCTCCTGTCAGGAAAAGAAGTTTCGGGCAGCAGACGACAATCTCTCCAGCGAGTGTCGCGAATTTCCTGATATCCTTTATGAGAGCGAAATCCGGAAACGAAGGCCTGAAATGGAGGGCAAAAGCAGGGCAATGGCCACCGAAGCTCTCGCTGCGCACGGTGCGCAGAAGTAGGTAAAGGGATTCGAGCTGAGACAGTCGAATAGATTTATACAGCATTTCCCTTGCAGGCCCGCACCAGGCTTTTGATACAAGACAGCAGCTGAGCAGGACATGTATGAAATCCCTCAACAAGTGGGTAGTCCATAATTTGACCGACGAGGGTAAAATCCTAGACAGGATCAGAGACAGGATCTCGGCTGGTAGACGAGGTGAAGGTGAAATTATGGGATCCTGACTGGTTTCGACGAGTGAGAATTTATCGCTCATCTCGATCATGGCACCTTTCGTATGTTGCTGCATTGTTACACACAAGAAGGAACGACTGTCTTCCTTGTATATGGTCTGGATAGGGAAGACTTTGAACCTTGAGAAACGAAAGATCTAATAAAATAAAATAAAATAGATAATAAGTTAGCTTGAAAAATTATTTGTAATGATAACCTCACTTTCATATGGCAGGACCACCGCGCTTGTACTCGGTCAGATGCTGTTCAAATTTAATAGTCACTGGGGAAACGACAAAATAACCCGATAGGGTTGACGTAGAATTAGTGACAATAAATAGACTATAACCAGAGAATGGCAAATGTGCGAATCCCCTCCGGTTAAAGTGGAGAATGGTGACCGTTTGAGAGCAAATCCCGAGGGGGGTTAGGCAATGTGGGCTTGTGCTGGATAGCTGCCCCCACATCTAACCCGACATTAAATCACATCTGAAATGTTAGGTCTGCTGTCTGCTTTGCATCTGGTTATTAGGGCAAGCGAGGCTGGTTTGCTTCTGAATGATAGATAAAAAGAAGTCTGATTAATGTAGGGTTACAGTCGTGTCTTCTATGGTACTTCCTAGGGATCTGCGCTCCCCATCGCAGGCCACCCCAGGTAATGAATCCCTTCCCTCCTTCCCCTCCTTCTAGCGCCCAATGTTTGCTAATAATCAACATAGCTCTCAGCGTCGCCCTAGTGGTGCAGTCATGATTCCAGGTGAAAACACTAGTACTGGGGGCTATGATCAGGATAGCGGTCAACAGCAAATCACAGAAGCTTACCGCAGACCAGCACCTCGTCCATCGCCACTATTCCCTGGTAACCACATGCTGCCGCAGGTCGACGAGTTTTTTTCGGGCGGTTTACAACAGGATTTAGGCCAACAAACACCAGCGCTGCTGATGAGGGGCCCTCAACACGAAACACCGTACCATGGCCATAACTCACACACCCCATTCACAGGCAGCGAGCCATCATCACGGTCACAATCACAGGCTCCGAGTGGTTCTCGTGAGGGGGGCTACCAGCAAATCTACTCATTCCATCAGCCTCAACAAGGAGCACCATTGCGAATGGATCCTTACCAGCACGTTCCAAATACACTTGAAGATCAAGTTCGGGATCTCAATGCGACCGTTGCACACCTCGTCTCTGAAGTCGCCAGACTGACAGAGTCGAATGAACACTTGTTGAACATAAGTCAACAAATCTGCCTCGATAATGCACAGATGTCAGTCGCCCACGAGAAGCTGACCAGTACACATGAAGCTCTCACCTCGCATGTTGACGAACATGATGATGCTCTCAAGAGCTTGGCTGAGAAGCCGGCACAAAAGAAGGCGGCCAGTAAGCATGTTTCGAATGAACACCCTGCATTAAAAGTAAGCATTCAGAGACAACCACATGTAAAAGAAACTCACTAGTCGTTGTGAAGCGTTTGATACAGCCGATGTTTGCTGACCTTTGCGGCATTGAGTCGTCCTTGGGGAGGAATAAACGAGCAGATGCGTTAACACGTGTAAAGCCATTAGAGAGCGGTGAAGCTTACAAGACTGGGGAAGATGATGAAGCGAAGACTTGGCACCCAAACTGGATTGGCCACGTTGACGATGAAGTAAACACTAAGTTCATAAAGGAAGTCATAGAGCGGGTCTACAACAATGAGAGGGTAAGAGAAAGTCCTCAGAGTTGGTAGTACTCACATAATCATATTTTGTAGATCCGCCGTGAAAATCCTGCGTTAAAGAATGACATTCCTGACGACGACTTCGATAAGGAAACCATCACGCTATGCACCAAAGACTACTTCCGCAATGTACACAAACAGGCCGTGACTCGTACTGATCTGTCAAAGATTGAAAAGGCTAATCGCAAGAAGACTAGCGGGCGTCAGAGGGGACAGCGTGTCACAGTAAGTATTGTGCATTCTAATGCTATAATCAGTTGACCCACCATATAAAACAGGTCACTAGGAACCGTCGTGAAGCCACAGTGGCCTTTGAGAAAGAGACAGGAAACTTGGGTGCGGTCGCAATGATCGACACTAATTACGCGTCAGATATCTTGACCAGCGGAGACCTGAGTGAGGATAGTAAGAATAGGAGGACGATGTCGGGAGCAGGGAATGCTGCGAAAATGGCTGTGGGATTGCAATGGCATTCTCCAGACGTAAGCATCATATTGTCGGAACTGCGAACATAATTGTACTCACTCGATATTAATCACTGGCAGTACGTCGCATTTTTGCGATTCCTCACCCTCCGACATATGAAGAAGTATGACGCTGACGAGCATGAACCAGCTGTCAATGCCAGTACCTCGCGTCCAACGAAGCGCCGCAAAACCACGGAAGGGAGTACCAGGACAAAAGTCTATGTGAAGAAGATCTTTGATATCAGCCCCAGCCAGATGGATGAGGACGCACCACTGTCTGCAAAAAATAACCTGCCATTCAAGAATATGGTTGCGAAGCACTGGAGGAAAAATCATCCAGAGATGAAGACACTTGACGGAGTTCCATGGTTAGAGGGATTCTGGACTGCCCTCCAAGACGACGACGTGATTAAGGAGGACTATACATATTTGCAAGAGCTTGAGGAGTGGCACCTGAGACAGGACAATGGGGGAGACGAAAGCGGGGGAGACGAGAGCAGGGGAGATGAAAGCAGGGGCGACGAAAACTGAGGAGGATGCGGGTGTAACGCGCTGTTAGCATAACGATCACTAGATTAATATTAATTCTCGTCAACGTCCCATGAGTTCAACAATAAAAATTTACCTTAGCGAGATCAATAGTTGCCCAAGCCTTCGTTCTCTCGTGACCAATTGAAACAACTGTCATTCCCAGCTGACTGATAATCCAGTCAGGGTCAATGAGGTGTGGGAGTTGTGTATCGTTGTTGCAATACTCTCTGAGTCTCCACAGCTGGACATTGACAAATGCGCTACATAGAAATCATCAATAACATCCTCGTTGTTACGATAACATACTTCGGACCGGCCCCCCTATCTTTTCTCCTATCATGTACTACCATATGACGCCTTATCACCTTCTTGTACAGCATCCTTGATCGCCGTCTTATCTCGTATCTCTTATCTTGTACCCTGTACCCTTACCATTGCCTTGGTAGTCCTGCCCTGAACTGACCTTTACCTATAAGTAGTCGATCGTCTTGCCTTGTATTCTTTAACTTGAATCTACTCAGTATTCTGATAGACCTTCCTTGAGCAAGACAGCTCTCGTATACGATTTCACTCAAGACTCTTCGTCTTAGTGCCTTTACTTGATCGATACAATTAGTCTTGTCTTCGCTTGCCGACTTTCGTCACCAAGCTTTGACCCAAACAATAACGATAAACGAACCTCTGCATTATCTTCGTCTCACGTTGAGACTTAGTACAGAGCTCTTACCTGAGTCTACGCTTTCAGCGTAACACTCGTAGAGTTTGAATGCGCTCACAAGGTTCTCCAAATATCTTCGCATTCTCCTGTCCAAGGGACAAACCAACGCATGCGGACAAACCACATTGGACTGCCAACACCATGGAAGTTCTGCGTGTACTGAAAAATTTCTAGGACCTCACCATATGCATGTATTGGAGCGGCGTCAGTCTGAGGGATGAGAACATGCACAAATGAAGAGTTATTTGAGCCGGTGGTACGAGACACATTGTAGCGCTTGCCACGAATGACAACATAGTCGAAGAAGACGGCCATGTGATCTAAGGGAATGCTGTGAGGGACAATAGGAGCATCATAGCAGCAGTGAACAGGTGTAAGAGGAAACCGAATGCAAATAGTGCGGGCCAGTAGTCGATATGTGTCTGACGACATTTGCTTTGTCTGGTGACGAGGGCTTAAAGTATACATCTGACTAGCTAATGGTAACGTAAATTAGAAGCTGTTTAAACAGTGATGACAATAAAAAAAACTCACCATCAGCGCTCGTATCGTCAAGATCCCGAGTTAAGGCTGTGAGCCCTGCGACGGTACCTCGTTCTTCATTGGTGGCCTTGAGCATGTGCATAGCGGCTTGACGAGGAAGTGAATCTTCAGGATAGGTTTGTAAAGTGTATGTCTAGATAACAGATCAAAGTATAATAATATCAATTCATTTGCGATCTTACTTACCAGTCTCCCGATCTCACATGTCCTTTGGAATTCACGGAAAAATGTCGTTTCGAGCTCGCCGTTCGCGTGATTGTTTGTCTTGAATGATTTCAACACCTTATTGAGACGCTCAAATAAGAATGTCCAAAAGTCGTGCAGGGGGCCAAAATTGCGACAACAGGCGCTGATGTGGGTAGCGAAATGATGGTTAGGTTTGATAACACCAGAGCCGTAAAGCTATATACAACCTTATGAGCAACAGGGTTTAATGAACACTCAGCGACTTACGTGTATGAGCTCCACGTTGTACTCTCGTATCAAAGCATCTGCACGATCAATATCGTCATCCGATAACTTTCGTTGAATCAAGATACGGAGTGCTGCAGACAGCTTCAGAAAATTAGCTGGATCATCAGGATGAAGTGAAAATTTTGCGTCTTCTAGATCATTGGCTTCGTCTGCCTGAGTAGGTCCTGCAGATTGCGGAGGGGGAGGAGGAGGAGGTCGTGCACTGCCTTCACACAGATCATCAACGATCTGTGATATAGCCTTGCGCTTTTTAGATCCCTAGAGGAATAATCAGTAAGCAAGAATAAGTTCAAATATATAATTACCTTTCTAGCGCTCTTTTCCTTGGCCAGCCTCTCTTTTTCCGCCTGTTTGGTGAGTGCCGCTTGTAACTTTGCTTGTTTCTTCGCTTCGGCGGCAGCTAGCTTCTCTTGCGCTATCTTTGATTTGGCATCTTCTAGTGCATCCTTGCCTTGCTTCTTGGCCTCAGCTAAAGCCTTCTTGTCGTCAGCCTTACGGTTCGCCTGTACATCCTTATCGGCTTCGATTCTCTTGATTAGTGCAACACGCTGTTGAAGGACTTCGTCGTCAGCATCCGAGGGAAGACATGTACTCCAGAGCTGGGGGATCTGCAGGCGAACTGTAAGTTTATATGTATGTTGAAACATAAAGTCCACTTACAACTATCGGTCCATAGACGGTAGCCAAGAGTAGCCACTGGTCGGCGGTGAGAGAACCACCGAACGGCATCCCTATGTCGGTTGGAAGCTTGCCGCACGACCCCGGAACTATGAACTGAGAAAAGAGGTGAGCTATTGTAATAGTATGAGGTAGACACCTAGAGTACATCAGCGAGCATTTCGTGGAATATTTGTAGCTCGTGATTGGCACGTAGTATCTTGGTTTGCACCCAGATATTATAAAAATGTGTTTTGACGAGCCCTGAGTACGATTAAGATCACGCAAATAACTGAAACTGTAGCAAGACGTACCAAGAAAGAGGTTATGCATCGGATCTATCACAATCTGCTTGACGAGGTCAAAATAAGGAAGTCGAGCAAGTTGCGTGTATCGTGTGGCGAACTCCTTTACGAAATTCTTGCGTGCAGCTGGATTATCTAGCTTTCGATAGCGTTCGCCTAGTTCACGCTGTTCTTGATTAGTTCGTGGTCGAAATGCTGTTGTTCAAGGCATGATCAGACTAGTACTACCATACAATATTCTCTAAGTCTTGGACTCACCGTCCTGCTCAAATGCCTGAGGTTTAGCTTTGTGAGCGGATGTTATCCAGCAAGCTGTGCAATAACACGTATGTGAATGGGATGCGAAACCCCCTATTTTGTGTGCTGCGGGCTTATCACAAACAACCGCCACCAGAATAACACGTACAACACGACCTGAAGAGTCATATATACCACATCAGCATTAAAAAGTTTGATGACAAAAGATGAAATCACCTGCAGGGCAAGATTCTGTTGGAACCTTAACACCAAACTTCCAAAGGCGTAGCAGATCGGACACGATTGGTTCGAAGGTAGCGCTGAATTTGATCTGGGTTCTGTTCCTTCAGGCCTGGTAGGATGCTCGTGCACATTAGGTTTGATGTTCGGTAGCTAGGACTACAATTAAGTACTAGTATATTCAATGAAAATAGATAACACTCACCGATATTCTGGCGGTAGGTTGCATATGGAAAATGAGGTAGGGCATGACGAATGCGATGGTGCGATATTGCTCCGGATGTATGAAAACCTAGATATGTATTAATAGTGATTTATAGTTCACAGTTACGTGCCAGTGACTTACCAGTCAACACCTAGGTTAACACCTATACGAAGTTCACCGTGTGTACCGTGCTTCTCGTGCGCAAGGTTCGAAAAGAAAGGTGCTCCGTCGGGGTCTTTGAGCTGGGTCCGACACATATCCCCATCGAAGATGTCTATATACTCGCCTGGTGTGCGAGATTTCAAGCGCCAGCCATCTAGCAATGCTTCAAGGCCCGGGATCCTTAGTAGCGACTTGATCTGATCAGAAATAGGAAGATATGGGTACTTTACGATCGGTGTTTTCGTAGCACGCTGGTTTCCGCACTTCGTTGCATCTGGAAGGAATAGATCCACTCCACAAAGCGTGCAAATGTCGTGTGATTTCGTGGATCCAGCAGGGGGGAAGACATCACAACATGTAGGACATACCGAAAGGACAAAAATGCTCTTTTCGACCCCCAGAACACGATGGCTTGATTGCAGTGTGATGAAAGGAGTGTCAATTGCTGGAGATAGGGCCATGAGGATACATCCGAAAATAGCCAGTAAAGCGTTGCACGCTGCTCGTGGAAGATGGAACTGTAGGTGTAACCATGAGACCAGCGCATATATCGTGATCAGATGAGGGGCAACATCTGTAAGGTCCCTGTCGTGTGCTGAGTTGAAACCGTCCTCCGGCATGAATGGATCGGGGTCATCCTCGTCTGGATCCATGGGAGCTATTACGAGATTGTCGTCGTCCTCGTTTTGATCATCAAATGTTCCATCAACGTCGATGTCTAGGTCATCGAAACCATGCTCATGCTCTAGAACTTGACCGTCATCTTCATTTCGGATCGCTTCAAAAGCATTTTCGATCTGCCGGTTTAATTCATGCTGTTCTGGGTGAGGTAGGATGTGATGCGCTTCATGTGAGGTGAGGGGACGTGTGCCTGAACTGGTAGCTGCATTATATGCGCTGAAATGTTCAACAGCATCGAGCAAGGCTTCAGGGCTATGGAAATTTGGTCCAAGATTGGGCAGAGCGGTTCTGTGAGTCATGAGGTCCACGTCTTCTCCAGTCAAAAAACCGTAGTCTAGCATTTCCTGTTCGACAGGGGATTCTGAAATACGATGTGGGTCCTGAAATTGAGCATCGGGAGACAACAGAGCCTGCGGCTCATGCAAAGGGACCGAATATCCACGAAGAACTGGCCCAGTGTCCAGTGCAGCACTTGGCACAAACTGTTCTCCGACCCGCTTGAATTGGGCCTGCGATGCAACAGTTTGTTCTCGCAGATCACGCCGTGCATGAGCACGCGCAGTGTGCTCTTCTATGAGGGCTCCTTTGCACCTGAAAGCCTGGCAGTGACATCTCTTCTGTCGCATTTGATGGGAGAATTCCGATGAGCTGTGTTGAGGGCAAAGGGGCTTACAAATGATGGGATAAAGCTAAGGCAAGCTCAGGCTGGTGATGCGCTGCGACGTTTCGACGCGTCGAAAATCACGTGGTCTTTTTTCATTTTTCGTCTCATTCGCATTTGATTCGCATACATATAGAACATTTAGTATTTAGTGATACAGGATTTGTGCGACACAAGGGGACTGCCAGGGCGTTTGACGCCAACACTCGTATTTACAACAGTCTGAAAAAATGATCAGCCAGAACGTAGTAATATTTGTATAGCAACAAACCTTGTCTGCCGCAGCATCTCCTTGCTCTACTTTGGACTCCGGCTCCGTCACGCTATCATCTGGGGCAGGAAGGTCAGCGATGTGATTTCGGAGGATGGAAAACAATGTTACCGATGTGTTTTGCGGCGACAGGTGGTTTCACAGGAGAGTGGTCAATTCCCGGACCAATGAATGTTCGCGGGTGTTGGGGAAGCGCTAGAAAACATATCAGCAACATCTGACACTGAAAATATGTGCATATACCTTTTTCCTTGGGTGTCTCAGGAGATTTTGTGCAAGTGCAAGTGGATGGTATGAGTTCAATTGTCTAGCAAGATGAGACGGTAATTTTTTGATGGTAAGTAAAAAAAAACATACAAGGGGGCCAGGTACGTCTGGAATAAATGTGACCCGTATCGTTTCTGGGTACTTGAGAGGTATTTCGAGGCGTATGGTGTTGTCTTCGAACATGAGCATGATTCAGATGTGAAGTAGGTAGTAAATAAAAGACTTAACGATTTTTGTGGTGATTTGACCCTTTGGGCTATCTCGACGTTGGGATACATCTTTCGAGAATGCCTGTACCATGGTTAGTGTCTGGTTTAGAATGCTGCCTGGACATGTATGGTTTGGTGGTGAGAACGTGTGTCTGCGGTCTAGTTTGGGTCTGTTTACACCGTGTCGTTTCTAACCACGGGTCTGTTTTTCTACAAAGTCAAACAACTACGACCTCCAAATTACTCAAGTCTGGTTTGTGTACAGATACATTATAAGGCGCAGTTTGTGTCTGGATACACGACTCATCCACATCCAGATAGAGTCTGGGCAGTTTGTCGTTTCCCCAGTGAGTGGTACCACCCCTGGTTGTAGTATTAGACCTAGTAAAATGGGAACTACCAGTTTTGCCATAGACACTTTTGACGGCAATTACCAGCAGCGCAATTTGACCTAATCCATGGCATTTGTCAGGCCCTATTTTGCTGGGTGTTTTGGCTTTCACAGCCGCATTTTTTGGATTTTTGAAACTCGGCTATGTTTTCAGTCACAAATGTGTTTTCCACATTTGTCAGATGTTTTGGTATGTTTTATTCCGCAATTTTGGCCTCCAAAAGCGGAAATTCACAAAACACATCCTGTTTTGGTCACCTCCTCATGTCAGGCCTCCCCACATTATTCCCACACTCCGCATTTTCGCATTTTTAGCCACCTACTGTGGGAATTACCCCACAACACCCAAAACATCATCCCAATATGGTATACCACATAATTATAATTATTCCCACACCCTCCCCACCTCACTGCAGCTTCACCACTACACCACAATAGGTCCCCCCTTGTATCTAAGTAGTAGTTTGGTATATACATGTATAATATTATATAATAGACCGCTTTTTTTGTCAATTTGTGTGCCTGCTCATCCTCCAGGGCCTTTTTCAAACAGGGTGGGGTACAGAACATTTTCGCATTTTTGCCCCTTTGATAGGGGGGTGTTCCAGGACATTCAGAACATGTTTATGAGCATATATGAGTAGATTCCCATCTTTATTTCACCCCCTGAAGTGTCCTACATCAATAGATATAGCACATATGCAAGAAAACACAGAATATGTTCTCATGTGATTATTTCTAGGTAAAGAGCCTTGTAAAAATGATTCCCAGCATCTATTTAACAATAGGAACAATGTATCAGGAGCCCAGGACCATAGGATAATTCCCTGTTGCATGGTGTGCCCCCCCTCTCCTGGTGGTTTACCTCCTGTGAAATTTTTTCCTGTAGGACCGGACCTCAATTGAGGTAGGGGGTCTATTCCTATGTATATTTGAGGTAAGTCTATCATATAGCTGGCCCAGGACACACATAGGATCCTGCTACAGGAACAAAAACATAGAAAATCGCATTTTTGACACTTTTGATGTGTTTTAGTCCCTTACACTTGCATAAATAATACAACCTGTTCATATATCATTATCATAGTATATATACTTGCTTTTTGTGACAAGGATCAGCTCAAAATAGGCCAGAGGTTTGAGTTAGTGTGAATACTTGCTATTTCTACTGATAAGGATCCCATACTTTCAATACATCGAAATTTAATAATCAGACACCTGGAGTAGATTTCAAATATACTCAGTATCATAGTCCTAAATGTACAGAACAATCCTACAAGAATTGAGTGCTGAGGAAGTGAAATAGATAAAAAATTGAGTGTGGGAAAGTTCAAAGACCCAAAACATCGAAAATGGTCAGTTGAGCAATAGTAGCATTTTAATGCTAGGTCAACTCAGATATACACCACATCCCTTCCACCACCCTTCAACCTCAGGGCAGTATGTAGTATATGTTCCTTTAGTAGTCTACAATGTATCCTACATATTGTTAATGAAATATTTGACCTGTATCATATATAAATGTAACTTTGTGTGACAAGATGTCAATTGTCACTTGTCATACATATGTGGTTTTACTTGTCATTCAGTCAGTCCTTGATGGATCTTTCTAAATCTTCAAATCTATCATCAGGGGCATATATAGGACATATCCCAGGTCTTTGATTACTTATCACAGGCTTGATTACTATGTAGGCTTCTTATCAGTAGAAAAAGCCCCTGTACATCATATATCACATTTGCACCCTATGTAGGGCTGATCCTTGGCACAAAACATATTTGTGAATGTACTACTGATCATATATGAGCAAGCCTGGTCATTTGTGCAAGTGTAAGGGACTAAAAAACATCAAAAGTGTCAAAAATGCGATTTTCTATGTTTTTGTTCCTGTAGCAGGATCCTATGTGTGTCCTGGGCCAGCTATATGATAGACTTACCTCAAATATACATAGGAATAGACCCCCTACCTCAATTGAGGTCCGGTCCTACAGGAAAAATTTTCACAGGAGGTAAACCACCAGGAGAGGGGGGGCACACCATGCAACAGGGAATTATCCTATGGTCCTGGGCTCCTGATACATTGTTCCTATTGTTAAATAGATGCTGGGAATCATTTTTACAAGGCTGTTCACCTAGACATAATCACATGAGAACATATTCTGTGTTTTCTTGCATATGTGCTATATCTATTGATGTAGGACACTTCAGGGGGTGAAATAAAGATGGGAATCTACTCATATATGCTCATAAATATGTTCTGAATGTCCTGGAACACCCCCCTATCAAAGGGGCAAAAATGCGAAAATGTTCTGTACCCTACCCTGTTTGAAAAAGGCCCTGGAGGATGAGCAGGCACACAAATTGACAAAAAAAGCGGTCTATTATATAATATTATACATGTATATACCAAACTACTACTTAGATACAAGGGGGGACCTATTGTGGTGTAGTGGTGAAGCTGCAGTGAGGTGGGGAGGGTGTGGGAATAATTATAATTATGTGGTATACCATATTGGGATGATGTTTTGGGTGCTGTGGGGTAATTCCCACAGTAGGTGGCTAAAAATGCGAACATGCGGAGTGTGGGAATAATGTGGGGAGGCCTGACATGAGGAGGTGACCAAAACAGGATGTGTTTTGTGAATTTCCGCTTTTGGAGGCCAAAATTGCGGAATAAAACATACCAAAACATCTGACAAATGTGGAAAACACATTTGTGACTGAAAACATAGCTGAGTTTCAAAAATCCAAAAAATGCGGCTGTGAAAGCCAAAACACCCAGCAAAATAGGGCCTGACAAATGCCATGGATTAGGTCAAATTGCGCTGCTGGTAATTGCCGTCAAAAGTGTCTATGGTAAGAATGGTAGTTGCCATAATATGTAGGTCTAATACTACAACTACGGCTGGTGGAAGGCAGCCTTCCGAACTAATCGAGGGCTATTCGAACCACTCGTCATGTTCTTCGGGCTCACCAATTCGCCCGCCACGTTCCAAAGTATGATGAATGATATCTTTCGGGACTTGATCAATGAGGGAAAGGTCATTATTTACCTTGATGATATTATGATCTTCACGAAGTCCCGAGAAGAACATCGTCGAATCACCCGTCGAGTACTCGAGATTCTCTGCCGGAACAAATTATATCTGAAACCCGAAAAGTGCGAGTTTGAGGTCACAGAGACTGAATATCTAGGTCTCGTCATCTCAGAAGGCCAAGTCAAAATGGACCCTGTAAAAGTAAAGGGCATTTCAGAATGGCCAATCCCAGGAACGAAACGTGACTTACAAGCTTTCCTGGGATTTGTAAACTTTTATCGGCGCTTTATTCGCGGGTACGGAGATCTGGCAAAGCCCCTGACGAGCCTAACAGGAAAGGCTGATTGGTTTTGGGGAGATGAGCAACAGCGAGCGTTTGAAGAAATTAAACGACAAGTTTCATCCGCACCTGTTCTCGTGATCCCAACTGACGATGAACCATATCGTGTCGAAGCCGATAGCTCTGGTCGAGCGGTTGGTGCTGTTTTGTCCCAGTGTCAGTCTGACACTTGGAAACCCATAGTGTTCTTATCAAAGACGCTCTCGGAAACAGAACGCAACTACGAGATATACGACCGTGAGCTACTTGCCATAATGATTGCATTGGCAGAGTGGCGACATCACCTTATGGGCGCTGTCCAGGAATTTGAGATTTGGACTGATCATCAAAATCTTCAATATTTCCGGAAGCCACAAAAATTGAACCGTCGTCAGGCTCGGTGGGTGTCAGAGCTAGCAAATTATCAGTTCACGCTCCACCATAAACCCGGGAAGACAAACCTGAAAGCTGACCTTCTGTCGAGACGAGCAGACCATGAGACCGGGGAGAATGACAATGAGAATGTCACCATGTTGAAGTCCGAATATTTCCGTCAAGTAGAACTGATCACAGACGACAACGATTTTCTGGCACGCGCACGTCAGAGACGTGGCAATCGAGATCGAGTCGTCGACAAAATGCTCGAGTCTAAGGAAGCGAGCTGGACAGAAGAAAAAGACCTCATCATGTGGAAGGGCAGGATTTATATTCCCATTGATCATAAGCTCCGGGAGGATATCATTCGCGAGCACCATGATTCACACCTTGTAGGGCACCCGGGACAGTACAGGACACATGAGCTTATCACGCGGAACTATTGGTGGCCGCGGATCCTATCCGACGTACGTAAATACGTTGAAGGATGTCAAAGTTGTCAATGTACGAAATCCCGAACCTGCAAACCAGCTGCCCCACTCCATCCACACGAAATCCCATCAGAGCCGTGGGAGCATATCTCGATTGATCTCATCGGTCCTCTTCCTGAATCAGCAGGGTATAACACCATATTAGTGGTGGTTGATTGTTTCACGAAAATGATCAAAGTTATACCTGCTAACACTGAGATCTCATCGTCAGGGGTGGCCAGGATGTTGCGTGATCATGTCTTTAAACATCATGGGTTACCGCGAAAAGTCATTAGCGATCGAGGGTCGAACTTCGTATCTGCTTTCATGCGAGAACTCTATCAGCAATTAGGCATAATCGGAAACTCAAGTACAGCTTACCATCCACAAACCGACGGTCAGACGGAACATATGAACCAAGAAGTCGAACATTATCTTCGAGTCTTCACTAATCACCATCAGAACAACTGGAACGAATGGTTAACATTAGCGGAATTTTCATACAACGATAAAGCCCAAACCTCCACTGGATACTCACCCTTTTTCCTGAATTGCGGCCGTCATCCATGGAAGGGTACCGAACACCGTCGAGAAGCCAAAGTGGAAGCTGCGAAAGAGTTTGCTGATCACATGAAGAAGACCCGTGTAGAAGCAGAGTCAGCGTTAAGGAAAGCAACTGAGGATATGAAACGGTACTATGACCGAACACGAAGCCCTTCGCATGAGTTTAAGGTAGGAGACAAGGTGTGGCTAGAGGCTACTCACATCTCATCCGACCGCCCGCTGAAAAAACTCGATGATAAATGTTACGGTCCATTCCGAATCTTATCAAAACATGGTGCATCATCCTTTAAACTGGACTTACCTCGGACATGGAAATCGATCTATCCGGTGTTCAACGAGTGTGTACTCTTCCCCTATGTCCCCGCTCAATTCCCTTCACAGAAAAATACCTTGCCACCACCACCAGACTTGATTGAGGGCTACGAGGAGCAAGAGATCGAGGAAATCCTAGATTCTCGTCTTCAAAGGGACCAGTTGGAGTATTTGGTGCACTGGAAGGGGTTCCCGAGGGAAGAACGTGAATGGTTGAAGAGTTCGAAGTTACAACATGCACCTGACGCCATCGCCCAATTTCATCGACTTCATCCCGCTAAACCACGCCCCATGCCAGCGATGAAGCTTCGTTTTCAGCGTCTTGAAAACTTTACCATACCAAATCATATTCCTCGCCACCTCTTTAACTGGGAAGACAGAGTTTTTTGAAAGAAACGAGAGGAGAGCTCATCATGCAGAGAATAGCGAGAAATTTTACGATGCCTTGGACGACCAGCCATGGCTGCGAGACGCAGCCCTTAGGGAGGGGGTATTGTCATGAACGTGTTTGGTCACGAGACCATTATTTGTGTACGCTTGCTCGTGTCTACTTAGTCAAGGTTGAGTCGAGTCTTAGTTTTCCTCCTAACGTCGTGCTGGTCTATTCTTTCAGGTACCGTTAGCACAGATTGTACTTATTACTTACTCAAAGGTCTATTCTTTCAGCATCCAGGTCTTTGTTGTTTGTGTTTGAGTCGCGCCTCGATCCTGAGACGTCTGACACCAGTGTGGATTCCCAAAGTACATACCTTCAAGTTGGGCCGCGTCAACTCAACTCCTTACACTAAGATGTAAGTTGCAGGAGGCATGCAAGGTGAGGAAAGTAGCAGCAAAATGGAAAGCCGAGTGCTCTCGACTTGCTGAAGAGCTGTCTGGAATCTGGATGCCGATGAAAATTTGAAATGTCCTTGCCCTACCGCGGCACATACATTGTCAGCATGACGCAGCACGTGCTCTCAAAGCGGCGCTATCCAGAAATAAACAACATACCTTCAGACTTGCTTCAGACTACAACATTTTATAGTATTAGTAGTTGCAATTGTAATTGCTGTTAATTCACTGCGTGTTGTCTAAAATTTCCGCTTGCGGAAAGGTAGCGGAAAACTAACCTAGGCCTTGGTTCTCCGCCAGATTTCCGCCGAAAGGTTCCGACGTAGGAGAGGTGGCTGTTTTTCTGCCTCTCCACCAGCGTTTAGCCAGCTTTCTGGACACTAAGTATCAACCGGCTGATATCTGGGGTCTGGATAACTACTATATATATATGCTCGCAATTAATATTCACCAGCTATATTTAATTATCATTTTTAATTATAATTCATTTCTAAATTCACAAATATCATAATTTGCACCGCTCGCGTCGCTTCGTTTGCAATTGCCTCGTCGTCCACGCGCACGCATATCATGAAAACCCAACAATATATTAAGCAGCCTTAATTAATCAATGCAGCTGTGCATACAGAGTGCTAGAGTCGCAGGGTGTCATGTTAATCCACCATGGAGAAAATCCCTACAATGGTCGACCCGGCTCCTGCCACTGTGAGAAGCCACCACATATAGCCAATGATGTGATCAAGCGTTCGGCCAGTGTACCATTTAAGTGTAGCATGCGGATCAGGCGTAGGTATGTATGCTGAGGGCAATTGGAGCATCGGAGAAGCACACGTTTCGGGGGACAATGTAGCGGTAGGTGGTGGAAGGAGTAGACGGCAGACAACAGGTTTCTGCTCACCTGTTAGATGCGGATTTAAACAGTGATAGGAGAACTTACATTGTCCGATGCGACGTATGATGGTATTGATGTGTACGAGAAGTTAGTGGTATTAGACTTCTCAGGTGTGTCGAGGGAATCAGTATGAGTCGCATACATTCTCCTATCGGTCCAAGATGGAGTCTGTTCAGTGCTGTTAAGTCTGGGTAAGTAGGAGAACTCATTGAGAAGACATGGCACACCTGTACCGGTCGACCTCATTGAAAGTCTGTACGTGGATGCGACGGGGATATTGTTATACGGAAGATGAGTGTAGACCAAGCGAAAACGAATGCAAGGAGAGGACCCAAGTGGCTGCGTTCTGCAACAGCACTGATGGCGATCATGGGACTGGAACTAGGTTAAATGAGTGCTCTGAATGAGAGGTGATGGATATGATGTACGTGATAGCAGCGAACATAAGCTAGAAGTCGCAAAATACAATGGCAGGTACTCTGACACTACCAATAGAAGTTTGGTCGAGTACATTTCGCAAGGCAAAGTATCCTAATGAACAAGGGTCAAAGGTGGGAAGTTTGAATGTTGACGAGAAGCATACTGAGGTCGCCGATATAGGGGCTGGCAGTGTCACTGAAAGCTAGAGAATAGCCCCAGAAGAACGACTATAAACTTGGTGAGGAGAAAGGGCGCCTAAAGTATTAACGGACCTGGAAGGAAACCACGGCAACAACGGTCGTCTGTCGTTGGGTGAAGGGAGGCGACATGGACAATGAGAGCAAGAGTAAATTCAAACTCCGCCGAGAACGTCCTCAATGCTAAGGCTCGCCGCTTCTGTTAGCACTCCTGTCTGTTACCTGTTCATGATCATGATTCTCAGCTGCAGGCTCTAGAAACAACCAACCATGAAAAGGGTCACATGGTCACGTGCCAATATCCTTCTGGGAACTTAGATAAGTGGTTAACAATATTTAACATCGGCGCGAATTGAGGGTCAAGTTTCCGACATATTCACAGCTGACTGATATTCAAGGTGGGTAAAATTTTTAACACCCCTGGATTTCCGACATTTTCACGGCTGTCGGATAGTTGATGGCGGAGAAGATGGCGGAAATTTTTGACCCCCCAAGATTCCAGCCACTTCTCAGCCGCTGAAATTTTTGGACAACACGCAGTGATTTCTGTTATACACACTCGCGTCGTGTTTTCAGCGGACATAGGGGATTCTTGCTTATATAAGTGGGACAGTTTGCCCACCACCCTAGTAAACGACCATACCAATCCTTTGACCATTCATGACTTGTTCGTGACCGTCATTTACGAGGCGGATTGGAGCGGCATCATGATAAAGAAAAATGATCCGAGGTATGAGCGCATCGTTGCTTTACTAAACAAATTCTTGACCATGTTGTAGGGCAGAGGACTTGCCAGACGACTTGACACCTTTTATTACTCGAACAATTATGGACCACGCTAGTGGAGGCGCATTTGGCGATGTTTGGAAATGCAATTACTTGAATGCAGATGGTAAATCAACCCTCGTTAGTTCGTGTTGAATTCATTTACTATGCAACTGGCTGACGCCCACTGATCGATAAGGTTGCGGTCAAGGCCTACAGGTTTTCAGAGAATGATGGTTTGGAGAGGATCAACAGGGTGAGTGATAGGTCTGCCATGATATATACACCCATGCTACTCAAGTAAACAATCCAGCAAATTACCCCAGAAATTGGCATAAATTTGAAACTGCTACACCATGCCAACATTGTACCATTGTTGGGTATAGCGACAGGATTTGGACGGATGCCAGAGTTGTGCTGCTTGGTGTCTCCGTGGATGCCGAACGGCACGTTGAATAACTACCTAGCATTGAATCACAACAATCTAACAGTCTTGGACTGTTTACGTATGGTGGGCAGGAATTTCATCTTTTCATTCTCGAGACTCACCCGACATTGGAAGCTAGAGGACATCAGCGCTGGACTTCGATATTGTTAGTTTTCATTACCCTTCTAAGGATGTTCAAGTACTTAGCCTACTTTTGGTGCAGTACACTTGATGTCTGTCATGCACAGGGATATAACAGGGGTGAACCCGGAGCTGCTCAGGCATTCTTGAAAACTAATCATTGATAATCCTATAGGCGAATATACTGATTGACGAGGGAGGCCATGCGAGGCTAATTGATTTTGGTCTTTCCACCGTTATCCAACCCCTTCTCGGCCAGTCGCACTTGGCCACGACATCTGCACGTCCAGGTGCGATCCGCTATGCAGCGCCAGAGCTTGTTGTACCAGATGGTGTCCATAACCTTGTGTCTCTGGAAAAAACTGATATCTACTCTTTTGGTTGTGTAATGCTTCAAGTGAGTTGATGGATAAGCCACAAAATTGTTTGCCTAAAAACTCACTGAACAGGTTCTCTCGGGCCGGCTTCCTTGGTCTGAGGTGACAACTGGAATTCTGGATCTTCGCATTGCTGTCATGATACTCGGAGGTCGTGGACCACAACGCCCCGATGGTCATCCTGCCATAACAGACTTGGATTGGCACTTCATCCAAACATGTCTGCGATTTGAACCCGAACTTCGACCTTCAGCAAACGAAGTAGTTGAATTTGTTGTGCATAGATTTCCCGTCTCAGGTAATCTTGCAAGTTTGTGATACTTCTGATCATCCACTTACATGACTTTCAAGGTTCTTCTAGACCACTTGACGATCTTCCCAATGATACAATGATAGCTCCCCTGGACCTTCCCCGCATTGTGGTTCTGATGACTTGGACAGAGCAGAACATCCACCCGACAGTCTACCAGTTCACCCTAGTCATGAACCGAAACCTTCGATCGTAGAGCCTGAAGCTCAAAGATCTCAGTAGGTCCAAACAGAATATTCGCATCTTCGCATTTTCATTTTTTTCTTTCCTATTTCCAGCTTATCACCTCTGAGAATCAGCCACCCCCGAGTCAAAAAATTAGTGCAAATATTATGTGGTCCGCTACAGTTGAACCACATAAGATGGGAAATTTATTCCCAAGGGCCTCCGAGCGATCCTACCTGGTACGCTACGATCTCCTGTAAGTTTTTTTTGTGGCAGAGTGATTCTTGGTGCGCTGCTTAACGATCACATAGTTGATGACATACGGTACGGCTGTGGCTCAGCGCACAGCAAGGGCGCAGCCCAAGAGGCAGCAGCAATAATGGCCCTGAACTACTTGCGAAAGGAGAAGTCGCGCACTCTGTAGAGCCGGGTTAATGGGACGGATAGATGTATTGGTCTGGGGTCACCGATATCACTGATGAAAATCAACAATGTGCGGACTCGAGAGATGGTTCGCGACTCCTCAACTGTAATTGTAATGTAAGGAACGAACCCATGTGTTGATACCAAGTGCGGCATACGATGAAGTGAGTATTACCAGCTGTAGACTAATGTGTGTACATGTATATATACGTAGATGGATTATCAATAAAGGAACGGAAGGATAGTAGTCACCTAGCATACACCCAACTCTAATCTTCCCCAGCCTGAAAAAATGTATACGTCCATGCACTTATCATACTGCCGCATAGTCGCCTCCAGGGCATCTGCATCCACATCAAAAGACACATCAAAAGACAAGTCCGCACCACATTTATCCTCTTCATCACCATTAAGACTGTTGTCCTTGACTAGCTTGAGAATCAAAGTCGGCGGGCTTTCAGGAGTCTGGACGACCTTCTTTAGTGTAGGAACGGTGTGGGAGAAATCGTAGAAGTCCGCTATAGTGATAGCGTACCGATCCTGCTGGGTGCGAGAATAGTAGTCGACCCAAGGGGATAGCTCTGAGAGCAGTTCCTCAAGTATGAGCGAGGGGAACAGTGAAGAAGGAAGTGATGCGCTGAAGACAGAACGGCTGTGTACGTGAGGAGATGCAGAGATGCGAGAATGCGCGGAGATGCGAGGTATGTGGAGATGCGAGGTATGCAGATGCGGAGATGCAAGGTATGCGGATGTGGAGAAACGAGTGAATGTCTAGAGGGTACCAGGTATGCGAACGGGTAGGGTACCAGGTATCAGAACAGGTAATCAGGTAGAGCAACCTAGGTACCAGGTATATGCGAAGACGTGCAGAAACCGCCTTGCAAAGGAACTCAACTAGGACTAGCAATAGTCAACTGTCAACTGCGATGCGAGCGTTCGTGTGGGATGAGAAGGCAAACAAGTGATTGCTCAAGCAAGGAAAGACAAGGTAAGACTAAGCTAGTGACTCCGCAACACACAACCAGAGAGAGGGAATGTAGGAAAGTGAAGTCCGTACGAGTCTGCGACGTAGTATATAACAGAGTCCGTAAGAAACCGGAACCGTATAAGCGGACGCATATGCAAGCGAAGTTGGAAGGAGGTACATGTAAGTAATGGTACGCGGCCTTGTGTATGGGAATTGATATGTAACTGTCCCTGTGAACGGTTAGGAATGACTAACTAAGGATGAGAACGCACCAGTGAGGACGGATGGATGCAGACAGGACATGGACGGACAGTGCGTTGCAATGCGATGCGATGCGATGAGTGCGCGGATTCCGCAACCTCGTGTGATGGTCCGCAACGGCCTGTGGAAGGTATGCATGACTTCGTCCAGTAAGGGAAGATGGTGCCGTACGGGGCTGCAGCCAGATCGTCTCCTACAACGGGTTTTGGGTTGAGTTTCCTGAACAGCGGAGGCTTGGAGTGCTGAAGCGTCACTTGATTTGTCCCTTCGCTTGTGGTGCCGCTTAAAGCGACTGCGTGGTAGCGTAGTGCGGTTAAGACAAAGGGAACTATTGGGGAGGTTGTGTTGCCCGTGCATGCCCAGCAGTGGGGGACCTCGTTGAGTTGTTGGGGGCACCATAGAAGGGTGCACACATGTTGACTGAGGTATCTTCTCTGAAGATGGGATGTAAAGTTGCGAGAGCTGTGGAGGAAGACATAGACCCGAAACTTGAGGAAGAAGCTGCAGGAAGACTGAAATCATACTTTTGGGGTGATGTGATGTCGTCCATGTGCATTGAGAGAGCCTCGCCCGAAGCAAAGCAATACAGAGAATCGGTGAAAGTGCTTCTATCGGGATCCGTATCTCGGTCTGAGGATAGGTGGCACTATCTTTGAAAGCTGAAGCTGTACCACAGGATGCTGAACCAACCTAGTCCATGAGGTAAAAGCCACATCGGACGCACATACTAGCAATAACATACTAAAAATACGTGGATTCATCCATATAGCATGGGTTTGCGGTCTGCGGATCCCAGTCATACTCGATCTAGAGCTGTCAAGAATGCAATGCCAATCGATTTTTGGGACGACATGCTCTTTTTTCTTTGTCCATGATGTGCTTGGCCTTTCTTTGACCACCTTAACTGGTAGAGATGGCGGCTCCGCTGCTATTTTATGAGAGCCTCGTTCACTCGAGGACAGCGAGTGAATTTGAAGAACAGACCGACAGCGTCAATTGAGAATGGGGACAAAGACAGTGGGTTCATATCACATCTGGGTGTAATAAAGGTAGAGACATGGCAGAATTCTGCCAAGGTGCTCTCAGATGCCGAATTCATGCACTGGAGCCCGAGGCTTCGACCTTCGGACTGACATATGCAAATGATTAAACTTGGATTCGGAATTCTGTTGGGGCTGCATTGAAATTACGGTTGCTATCAGTGACCCTTGGACTACCGTAGCCCGACGGCTCAGGTGTCACGACCAACGAGGTATCACTTGCACTCGAGGAGTGCGCGATGTTGCGTGCAGCGGAAGCATAGGGGAGCATTGCAGCAACTTGGCAAGATAAGTAGACGCCCATCCAGTGGGAGTTCGCAAAGAACATGCCTTGGGTTGAGTATTATACGTAACATTGCCTGAATCTGATCCACATTCTTTGACCATTTGTGACCATCACTGAGGCCACTTACAAGGCTGATTGGGAAGGCACGGAGAACGACGATCCGAGGTATGAGCGCATTGTGCTTGGTGTCGCGATACTGAACTTCTTGACCGTGCTGCAGGGCAGCTGCCAGTGACTCAGTGCCAGACGACTGGACACCTTTTACTATTAATGCTGCAAGTGGACTTAATAAGAAGGGTGGTTTGGTGTCGGTGCAGTGGTGCGGTAGTGCACAGCCACTGCCGCACCCAACAACAGAATTGCTGCACCCTACCGCATCACTGCCGCACCCATCAAGTACAACTATCACTGTAAAGCCACTGTGATCCTTACACAAACACCTGGAATATAGTATTACTTATTCTTAAATCATATTTCAGACAGTTGCGTACGACGTAGACGTATTGTAGAGGCATATAAGACATTATCGAGTAGGGTGCGGCACAGATGCGGCAATTTCCTAAGGCCCCATTTGGCGATGTTTGGAAATGCAATTACAATGCGGATGATATTTCAGCCAGTGTTAATTCATCACGGTGTTGGATACATTTACCATGCAACTGGCTGATGGGGCCCCACTGATTGATAATAAGGTTGTGGTCACAGCCTTCAGGGTTTCGGAGAGGGATAGTTTGGAGACAATCAACATGGTGAGTGATAAGTCTATTATACATCCAAGAACACCCATGCTACTAGTACTTGAGTGACCCAGAACATTAGCCAAGAAATCGGCATTTTAATAATTCTACGCCATAATAACGTTAACATTGCACCATTGTGAGGTGTAGCGGTAGGGTTTGGACGGATCCTAGGTTGCGCTGCTTAGTGTCTCCGTGGATTCCAGACGGAACATTGAATGCATGCCTATCCAACCATGACGATCTAACAATCCTGGACCGTTCGTGTATGGTGAGCGAAGTTCTCATTCGGATCCTTTTCACTTTTGGGGACTTCATCAAGAACCGAGGAGCATTGCGGCAACTTGGCAAGTTGAACAGACGCCCATCTAGTATGGGTCAGCAAAGGGCCGCCCAACCCTGGATCGTACGCCACACCTGAACCTAATCCATTTTTTTCGACGATTTGCGACCATCACTGCGGCCACCTACGAGGCTGATTGAGAAGGCATGGAGAACGACAATCCGAGGTATGAACACATTGTGCTCGGTGTCGCAGTACCGAACTCCTTCACCGTGCTGCAGGGCAGACGACTTGCCAGACGACTTGACACCTTTTATTACTAAAACGACTACTAACAACGTTAGCGGAGGTGCATTTGGCGATGTTTGGAAATGCAACTATGATCATCCAGATGGCATTTCAGCCCTCGTTAGTTCGTGTTTGTCATGTAACTGGCTGACACTCATTCCTCGATAAGGTTGCAGTCAAAGCGTTCAGGTTTTCAGAGAGTGATGGTTTGGAGACAATCAACAGGTTGAGTGGTAGACACTACCGTATTGATGGTACACCTGTGCTACTTGAATCATTTAGAAAATTAGCTGAGAAATTGGCATTTTGAGGATTCTACGCCATAACAACATAGTACCGTTGTTGGGAACAGCGACAAGATTTGGACGGATCCCAGAGTTGCGCTGCTTGGTGACTTTATGGATTCCAAATGGCACGTTGAACGCCTACTTAGCATCTAACCACAACGATCTACAGGCCCAAGGCCGTTCACGTCTGGTGAGCAGGAATTTCATCGCATTCTTTCGCTTTTCAAGACTGACTCCAAGTTGGAAGCTGGAGGACGTCAGCGCTGGACTTCGTTATCGTTAGTTGTCATCTGTCTTTTCAAGATGTTCTAGTAGTAACCTAGTACTTTTGGTGCAGTGCACTCGGTTCCTGTTGTGCATGGGGATATAACAGGAGTAAATTCGGAGCTACTGAAATATTCTTGCAAGCTAACACACCTGCAGGCAGATGTGCTAATCAACGAGAGGGGCCATGCAAGGCTGATTGATTTTGGTCTTTCCACCATTGTCCAACCCCTTCTCGGCCAGTCGCACTTGGCTATATCATCTAGACACCCAGGTGCAATCCGCTATGCAGCACCAGAGCTTCTTTCACCGGATGAAGATGCCCGTGAGCTGCCAATTCCTTTGGAGAAAGCTGATATCTACTCTTTTGGTTGTATAATGCTTCAAGTGAGTTGTTGGTTCGATCACGAGATATATGACTGACTGAACAGGTTCTCTCGGGTCGGCTCCCTCGGTCTGAGGTGACAACTGGAATTCTGGATCTTCACATTGCTGTCATGATACTCGAAGGTCGTAAACCACAACGCCCCGATGGTTATCCTGCCATAGTAGACTTGGATTGGGACTTCATCCAAAAATGTCTTTTATTTGAACCCGAACTTCGACCTTCAGCAGAAGAAGTGCTTGACTTTGTCATACATAGATTTTCCGCCCCAGGTAATGCTGCATACTTCGTGGTGCTTTGCCGTTCATCCACTTACACGAGCTTCAAGACTCTTGTAGTAGACCGCCCGATGATCCTCCGGATGATGCGCAGGATGATTTTCCCGGACCTTCTCCACCCGGCAGTTCTAGTGACTCGGATAAAGCAGAGCAACCACCCGACAGTCCATCACCCCTCCCTAATGATGAACTGAAAACTTTCACCAAGATGATGGAGGAGGCCTTCACCTCCGCCTCCATCTCTGCCTCCACCTCCACCTCGATTACTCCTGCACATTCCGTATCACCTTTCTACGACCCCTTCCCTGAAATATCTGAGTCCTCCACTACACCCGGGCGTGTAAGTTATCAATCTTCTGACCGTGGATCACTACGACTAACCGGCCCTCGCAGAGCGGCCATTTTCTCTCAGAGATGTTTCAGTGCAAGTGGATTAATTATGGGTCACATTGCAATGACTTGATTCATGGCTACAACATGGCACTTCACCTTCGTGAAGTTCACGGAATTATTATTAGAATTCCCGGCCCAAACAGTTCCGTCACGTGCAAATGGGATCACTGTAATGAGGAGTTCCACATTGAATCCCTCTCAAGGCATGTCGAAGAGTGGCATCTGGGGATTGTGCACTCCTGCAACTGCGGGAAGACATTTTCGCGCAGAGATACCTTTTTCCAACACCAGACTAATTGCCCGAGTCAGAAGTTGGTTTGATATGGGGAGACGGATGCCGATGTTGTGCACAGGCTGGGGTTCTTATCTAACTCATTACTGGGCTTTCTGGGATTTGTTGACTTCTGTTTGAGTTAATGCTTATGCGGATTTACGGTCAGAAGTTCGCGGTTGATGGTGTATGAAGTAGTGGAGAACTGGGGCTAGTAGGAATAATCATACTTCATATTTGATCGTGGCATATAGTTGCTCAAGTAACAAACACCTCTAATTTATATTGTGAGGCAGCGAGTATTATATGCTGGCGAATGTACATGTAAATATACGTAGATGGATTATCAAAGAGTGATCGGAAACACAGTAGTCACCTAGCATACACCCATCTCATATCTTCCCCAGCCTGGAAAATGCATTGTCCACGCACTAATCATACTGCCGCATGGTCGCCTCCAGGGCATCTGCATCCACATCAAAAGACACATCAAATGATGAATCCACACCCGCCGCACCGCCTGTATCTTCCACATCACCATCGACATTGCTATCGTCCTTATCCAGCTCGGGCGTCGAAGTTGGTGGGCTCTCGGGAGTCTGGACTACCTGCTTTGGTGCAAGAACATATTTCGGGTTGGGTTTCTTGAGCAGCGGAGGCTTGAAGGGTGGAAGTGTCACTTGCTTTTGTCCCTTTGCTTGCGATGCAACATACGGTGATTGTGTGGTGGTGCAGCGATTGAGACAATGGAAACCTGGAATTGGGAAGTTGTGTTGCCGGCGCATCCCCAGCGGTGGGGGACCTCGTTGAGTTGTTGAGGGCACTATAGAAGGGCGCACACATGTTGACTGAGGTATCTTCTCTGAAGATAGGATGTGAAGTTGCGAGAGCTGTAGAGGAAGACACAGACCCGAAATTTGAGGAAGAAGCTGCAGGAAGACTAAATTCATACTTTTGGGGCGATATGATGTCGTCCATGTGCATCGAGAGAGCCTCGCCCGGAGCAAAGCAATATAGAGAATCGGTGAAAGTGCTTCTATCGGGATCCGTATCTCGGTCTGAGGATAGGTGGCGCTGTCTTTGAAAGATGAACTGTAGGCTTCGTAGTTGCAGAGCTCAATGGTATTTCCCAGCAGAGGTACAGAAGAAGGAGCAAGTGTTTTCGTTCGAGGTCTTGCAGTCGATGTGGCAGATATGAACCTCGAACCAGACAAAGAACTTTAGACGGAATTTCTCCGGGTCAGGATATCCCCCTGCATGCTACTCGTCGCCTTCTTTTCTGTCCTTGCAATTTGCTTTGGCCTCAAATTATCGTCCGCCTTCCCAGTGATATCACTTAGCATATGAGGGAATTGTGAAGGGACGTCATCTTTCTGGTACGGCCGGTGAATATGCGCTGAATGGGGAAACTTTCTTTGAGATGGGTTGTATCCTTGGAAGTGGTTTGCTTCATGAAATAAACAGATGAGAGCAAAGTGTGGAAGGACACCGGGCGGGCCGTGAATATTTGAATTGTGACAGACGTGCTTGTACTGGGTGCTGCGATGGACTGCAAGTAGAACATAAGCAAGCCAAAAACGCTTCGAACGCCTCAAGTGAGAGAGCACCCACATGTCTTTTCTCGCCGTTCCTCTCTCTTTTGCAATCTGGTATGACTTTCTTGAGGGCAGGATTGGCGGATTAGGGCCCATCCATCGAACCGGATCCGAGTCGACGCTCATGTCGGCGCGCCCCCGTTGGGGATAACACGTTCAAGTCCGGTGCAGCGTCTAGACTCTAGTGGTAGTTTGGCCATGGGTGGTATAAATGTGGTAAGAGCAAAAGACTCGAACAGTAAAAAGCTAGCACAATGTTTTATCCAGCGAACCGAGAACCATGTGTACTGAGAACAAGAAATGGCGAGCAACACGAATCATATAGACACTCATATCCAGGTTCCTGTGTAAGTTCACAAGGTACCTTAGTCCTTGGCCTACGACCATCAACTAGATCCGATCCAGTCTTTGACTCTGCATCACTTCTGAGTCTGATAGAGAAAGCATGATGGAATGGGAGAACGATGATTCGAGGTATGATCGCATTGCCCTCGGTGTTGCCGCAGGATCTGCTTTATTGAACTTTTGTGTGACCTTGCTGCGGCAGGATCCAGGTAGAGGACTTGCCAGACAATTTGACACCCTTTATTACTCGAACCACTTGGGATTATGTTGCCGGGGGTGGGTTTGGCGATGTGTGGAAATGCAGGTGTTCTGATGCAGATGGTATTTCTGCCCTTGTTAGTGTGTTGGATTCATTTCCATGCAACTGGCTGACACTCGATATCACGATAAGGTCGCGGTCAAGGCCTTCAGGTTTTCAAAGAGGGATGGATTGGAGGTGATCAACAGGGTGAGTGACTGTGATAGTACTGTGATGCATCCAAGAACACCCATGGTATATGTATCATACAGAAAATCAGCCGTGAAATTGGCATATTGAAAATGCTACGCCATGACAATATTGTATTGTTGTTGGGTATAGCGACAGGATTTGGACACATACCAGAGCTGCACTGCTTAGTATCTCCATGGATTCCAAACGGCACGTTGAATACCTATCTAGCATCTAACCACAATTTAACACACCTGGACCGTTCATGTATGGTGAGCAGGAATTTCATCACATCCTTTCACTTGTCATAACTCACTCAAAATTGGAAGCTGAAGGATGTCGGTGCTGGACTGTGCTACTGTTAGTTTCATCTATCTTCTCAGGACGTCTAGTAACCTTTGGTACAGTGCACTTGGTGCATGTCATGCACGGAGACATAACAGGGGTAAATCCGGAACTGTTGAGGCATTCTTGAAACTTGATGAACTTGCAGGAAAATATACTCATCGATGAGGGAGGCCATGCGAGGCTAATTGATTTTGGTCTTTCCACCATTATCCAACCCCTTCTCAGCCAGTTGCACTTGGCTGCGACGTATATATGTCCAGGTGCAATCCCCTATGCAGCACCAGAATTTATTGTATCGGACGATGTACGTGACCTGGGGTCTCTGGAAAAAAACTGATATCTACTCTTTTGGTTGTGTAATGCTTCAAGTGAGTTGATGATTGGTTACGAAATGTTTGCTTGAATACTGATTGAGTAGATTCTCTCGGGTCAGCCCCCTTGGTCCAAGTTCAAATCTGAAAGACGGGAATTTTGCATTGTTATCACGATGTCCAAAGGTTGTGGACCGCAGCGTCCCGATGGTCATCCTGCAATAATAGACTCTGATTGGAACTTCATCCAAAAATGTTTGCAATTCAAACCCGAACTTCGACCTTCAGCAGACGAAGTACTTGACTTTGTAACGCATAGGTTTTCTTTCCCAGGTAATCCTGCATAATTCGTGGTGCTTTTATAACAATCCACTTACACGAGCTTCAAGATTCTTCTAGATCGCCTGTCGCACACGGTGGTCCTGGTGACATGACAGAACAATATCTCAACATTCAATCATCCCACCCTAATCATGAATTGAAGACTTTGATCACCGTCATGGATCAGTTGTTCGCCTCCACCTCGAGTACTCCTGCACATTCCATACTGCCGTTCTCTCACATCATCTCAAGTAATGAATTATCTGAGTCCTCCACTGGACCAGGACCTGTAAGTTATCATCATACTGACCGTGCATCACTGCGACTAATCTACCCTTGCAGAGCGGCTGTGCTCTCAAAGACATGTTTCAGTGTATGTGGGAGATTTCTCATGGGTCGTATTGCAGGCACATGTTGTGTCCCCGTGATTTCTCTTCCCACATATGAGAAGTTCACGGAATTCATGGCCCAACCAGTTCTCACTTCCAGTGCAAATGGAATGGTTGTGGTAGGATGCTCAGGAAAGATGCCCTCTTGAGGCATATGCGAGAGACTCATACCGGGTTGGTTTACTCCTGCGAGTGTGGGAAGATGTTCTCGCGCAGAGATAACCTTAACAAACACAAGAAGAGTTGCTTGGATCAGCAGTAGTTTCTAGTAATGGGGAGGCGCCAAGGTGTGCACAGGCTAGTTCGAGGGTTTTTACCCGACTCATTGCCGAGTCTTATTGGATTTATTGACTTCAGTTATAACGAGGTAGTGCTTCTTCGACAGGACCTGTACCCAACCCTAATAATTTGAAAGCCACGGACTCGCGATCGTAACATGAAATTCATGGCTAGCGAGGGTCTAATCACGACTGTAACTTCTGAATGGAGTACTAGAGTATAGCTAGTACACCAAGATAACTGCGGCTCGTATGTAGTTGTCAAAATTTCAGATACAACTCAACCCACATAATTTACTTTCCCACGGAAATGACCACATATGAATTCACTACTCACTTGAGTCAAGTCACGGTGACTTGACGCCAGAACTCATTGCCGATGCTCCAAGAACTGGTGTTGAGCTCAGTGGCAAACTGCAGACTCAAAGGCTATAAGGCAGGTCTACCTTGGTAATACATCAGAAGGTAGCTAGAAAATCATGATGATGTCAAGCATAATTAAAGCTCTGTCTCCAAAGTATGGCACTCACTAAGAACCTAGGGTAGTCATATATAATTGATATACCCGGGCCAGATATGCGTACATCACATACCTGCATAGACTACCAGAGCGTGCAAGATGACAGAAACTAATGTCAAGCCCGTTGTACGTGTCTAGCAAACCATGAGAGAAAACATAAGCACCTTTCTCAGTGACTCGCCTTGAAAAGACGAGGAGGAATAATGAATATATTGATCTGTACGTGTTGCACAATACCCCTACTGCCGATTCCTTGGACAGCACGAGAGATGATCAACCATGTCATATTCTGAGCTGTACCACAGGGTGCTGAACCAACCTAGTTCATGACTCGGGGGTCAAAGCCACATGTGGATTCATACATATATATAGCGTGGGTTTGCGGTCTGCGGATCCCAGTCATACTCGATCTAGAGCTGTCAAGAATGCAATGCATATCAAGCCAAAAACACAACGCCCAATCGATTTTTGGGACGACATGCTCTTCTTTCTTTGTCCATGATGTGCTTGGCCTTTCTTTGGCCACCTTAACTGGTGGAGATGGCGGCTCCGCTGCTATTTTATGAGAGTCTCGTTCACTTGAGGATAGCGAGTGAATTTGAAGAACTGACTGACAGCGTCAATTGAGAATGGGGACAAAGACAGTGGGTTCATATCACATCTGCGTATAATGAAGGTAGAGACGTGGCAGAATTCTGCCGAGATGCTCTCAGATGTCGAGTTCATGCACTGAAGCCCGAGGCTTCGACCTTCGGACCGACATATGCAAATGATTAAACTTGGATTCGGAATTCTGTTGAGGCTGCATTGAAATTACGGTTGCTATCAGTGACCCTTGGATTACCGTAGCCCGACGGCCCAGGTGTCACGACCAACGAGGTTTCACTTGCGCTCGAGGAGTGCGCGATGTTGCGTGCAGCGGAAGCGTAGGGGAGCATTGCGGCAACTTGGCAAGTTAAGTAGACGCCCATCCAGAGGGAGTTCGCAAAGTACATACCTTGGGTCGAGCCTCTATTAAACGCAACATTGCCTGAATCTGATCCACATCCTTTGGCCATTTGTGACCGTCACTGAGGCCACCTATGAGGCTGATTGAGAAGGCATGGAGAACGACGATCCGAGGTATGAGCGCATTGTGCTTGGTGTCGCGATACTGAACTTCTTGACCGTGCTGCAGGGCAGGTGACTTGCCAGACGACTTGACACCTTTTATTACTCGAACAACTGTGGACCACGTTAGCGGAGGTTCATTTGGCGATGTTTGGAAATGCAATTATGATCATCCAGATGGCATTTCAGCCCTCGTTAGTTCGTGTTTGCCATGTAACTGGCTGATGCCCATTGATCGATAAGGTTGCGGTCAAGGCCTTCAGGGTTTCGGAGAGGGATAGTTTGGAGACAATCAACATGGTGAGTGATAAGTCTACTATACGTCCAAATAACACCCATGCTACTAGTACTTGAGTGACCCAGAATATTAGCCGAGAAATTGGCATTCTGAGAATTCTACGCCATAATAACATTGTACCGTTGTGGGGTGTAGCGGTAGGGTTTGGACGGATCCCAGAGTTGCGCTGCTTAGTGTTTTCGTGGATTCCAAACGGCACGTTGAATGCCTACCTATCCAACCATGACGATCTAACAATCCTGGACCGTTCGCGTATGGTGAGCGAAGTTCTCATTTGGATCCTTTTCACTTTTGGAGACTCAATCAAAATTGGAAGCTGGAAGATGTCGCCGCTGGACTTTGTTACTGTCAGTTTCCATCTTCCTTCATAGGATGTTCGAATGCTACCCTACCTTTGGTATAGTGCACTCGGAGTCTGTCGTGCACGGGGATATAACAGGGGTAAACGCTGTGCTGCTAAGGTCACTTATTCTTGAGAACTAACAAACCTGCAGGCAAATATACTAATTGACAAGAGAGGCCATGCAAGGCTGATTGATTTTGGTCTTTCCACCATCATCCAACCCCTTCTCGGCCAGTCGCACTTGGCTATGTCTTCTAGGCGCCCGGGCGCAATCCGCTATGCAGCACCAGAACTTGTTCTACCAGAGGATGCCCATGAGCCCCCAGTGCCTCTGGAAAACGCTGATATCTGGTCTTTTGGTTGTATAATGCTTCAAGTTAGTTGTTAATTTGATCACGAGATATTCATCTGAGGACTGACTGAACAGGTTCTCTCGGGTCGACTGCCTTGGTCCGAGATCCGAGGGGAAGCGTTCATCATCGTTAGGATGTCGCATGGTCGTGGACCGCAACGCCCCGACGGTCATGATCCTGCCATAATAGACTTGGATTGGGAATTCATCCAAACATGTCTGCACTTCACACCCGAACTTCGACCTTCAGCAGAAGAAGTGCTTGACTTTGTCATACATAGGTTTTCCACCCCAGGTAATGCTGCATACTTCGTGGTACTTTGCTGTTCATCCACTTACACGAGCTTCTCCTTCCCAGGTAATCCTGCATTGTTCGCTGCTTTGCCAACCACTCACTTACATGAGCTTCAAGGCTCTTCTGAATCGCCTGACGATCCTCCCGATGATGCAGGAGACAGCTTCCCGCAGGCGGCAGGTTCCCTGTCTGGCGATTATGGTAGCTCGAATACAGCAAAAACTTGAAGAAATCTCTCAAAAACTTTATGGTCCGGCTGTGGCGGAGCACGTGAGATGGGAAATTTACTCCCGAGGACCTCCGAATGATATGATCTGGTATGCTACAATATACAGTAAGTGGTAGGCAGAGTGATGCTTGGTGCACTGCATAACAATCACATAGTTGACGACATGAATTACGGCTATGCTTCGGCGCGCACTATGGACGCAGCCCAAGAGATGGCAGCGGACATGGCGATGCAAAACTTGAGAAGGGAGAGGGTAGGTAGTACAGTAGGGGAATCTGCGCAGACTGCAGGGCTGACGGGGTCGACGGGACTGACGGGGTCGACGGGGTCGATGAGGTCGACGGGGCTGACGGGGTCGACGGGGCCGACGGGGCCGACAGATGTACCGGTGTCACGGTACGGCACCTGATGAAGATCGACAAGGTGTGGGCTTGCTCAACTAATCATATGCATACGTATTTCAAGAGAGAATGGCTTTGTAACTCAGCTGTAATTTAAACACGCGACCATTTATTGGTACCAAACGCCTCAGGAGTGCGCAATGTTGCATGTAGCGAAACTATCAAGAAGCGAGGAGGAGCATTGCGGCAACTTGGCAAGTTGAACAGAGTCATCAGTGAACGCATGAATGCTTGATATCAGTGTAACTGTGGGAATTATATGAGGGACGGGTTGGGAAAGGGCCGCCCAACCTTGGATCGTACGCCACACCTGAATCTAATCCACATTCTTCGAACATTTGCGACCGTCACTGCGGCCACCTACGAGGTTGATTGAGAAGGCATGGAGAACGACGATCCGAGGTATGAACGCATTGTGCTCAGTATCGCGGTACCGAACTTCTTGACCGTGCTGCAGGGCAGACGACTTGCCAGACGACTTGACACCTTTTATTACTAAGACGACGATGAACCACGTTAGCGGAGGTGCATTTGGCGATGTTTGGAAATGCAACTATGATCATCCAGATGGCATTTCCAGACCCTTCAGTCACATTGGATGTAGAAGTGGTGCCCCGGATGTGCCAAAAGGCTGTAGAATATGACCCAGCCTGCACCGGCCTGGCCAGGTAGATATGTGGCTGGCCGATTCGTAGAAGTGGGCACGGCCAGTGTACCTTGAACTCTGCTTAGGCACTGAGGGAATGTGTAGGGCGAGGACTGGCCAGCCTTGTAGGAGAAGTACTGGCCAGCATTCCTACACACGACTGTACAGGAGTACCGGCCGAGCGCACAGGGCATTTACTGCCCAGCTCAGCCAGGAAGAAGCCTCAGGCCAGCACTCTTATACAATCGTGTAAAGGAGTGCCGGCCGAGTGCACAGGGCAGGTACTGGCCAGCTGCCAAGAAACAGCCTCTGGCCAGCACTCTTATACAACTGTGTATGGGAGTGCCGGCCAGGTACTGCCAGGAAACAGCCTCCGGCCAGCACTCCTCTACAATGGTGTACAGAAGTGCCGGCCGAGTGCACAAGGCAGGTACTGGCCAGCTGCCAAGAAACAGCCTCTGGCCAGCACTCTTATACAACTGTGTATGGGAGTGCCGGCCAGGTACTGCCAGGAAACAGCCTCCGGCCAGCACTCCTCTACAATGGTGTACAGAAGTGCCGGCCGAGTGCACAAGGCAGGTACTGGCCAGCTGCCAAGAAACAGCCTCCGGCCAGCACTCTTATACAATTGTGTATGAGAGTGCCGGCCGAGTGCACAGGGCAGGTACTGGCCAGCTCAACCAGGAAACAGCTTCCGGCCAGCACTCTTATACAAGCGTGTATGGGAGTGCCGGCCGAATGCTACCAAGAACTAGCCTCCGGCCAGCACTCCTGTACACGACTGTACAGGAGTTGCTGGCCGAGCCCATAGGGCAGGTACTAGCATGTACAAAGGTACTGGCCGGCCATGTAGGGTAGGTACTGGCCGGCCCCACTTATAAAATCAGGTATATAGTCTTGGCTGGCCTTGTAAACTATATACCGGCCACCCCATCATGTATATTGCTTTGCCTAGTAATATCAAGTAGATCTATGAGTCAAAACAGCAAGAATACAATGTGCTATGCTAGGTCACTTTCGCATGGCCTTTTTTGAGGGTTGCCTGGGTCTGCTGGATCGACGAATATTGTCAGTGGTAGCCTTTTTGGATGGTCTTCCAGATCCCCCAGATTTTCCTCTTTTCTTCCCTTTCTGCACGACGACGACGTCGTCCTCCTCCTCCTCATCCTCCTCCTCCTCCTCATCCTACTCCTCCTCCTCCTCCTCCTCCTCCTCCTCCTCCTCACCACGCTGTTCCTTATCTTCCATATCATCCTTACCACCACTGTCCTTTTCGATCTCCACCAGTTTCAACAGCTTCTGGTTGTACTCCTCCAGCTCTCGCTTTCTCTCCTCCAGCTTTCTCATGTCCTCCTGCAGCATCACCATTTTCTTCTTCTCTTCCTCCACCTCCCGCGACTCCTTGTCAACCTTCCTTGTCAACTCATCTGCCTCCATTTCCGTCCCCTCATCCTCTTTCTCTTCCCTGGTTGAAATCGTCCGAATGGCAGTATCAGCTCCGTGTTCTTCACCACCAGCAGCCTCAGCAATGGCAGCATGTTGTCCTTCCTTCGCCTTGAGCATCCGCATAACCCCACCTCTGGCTGTATTGATTGCCTCTATGACGAGGTCGTGGGTCTTGATACTCAAAATAGAGGTGCCAAGGTAAGAGGGGGTGTTCAGGGTAGCTTCGTCCTCCTCATATTCGATAACTCGCTTGCATTCTCTTAGCAGCATCCCAAGACCTAGGCTGACCTTCATGGCTGATTCCAAGCCAGAGATCTTTGCAGAGAGGACTATCTCCAAGAACTTGTTCAACTCACGCTCGTCTGAGTGCACACTATTCGGAAGGTGTGATCTGTCCCAACTCCATGTCGCCCAAGCGGGCCATTCCATTGCCTCAGAGCTTCGTTCCTGTGTCAAGTGAGTATCAAGTTTCACCAATCCAGGTATTAATCGCAAACGTACCTTTTTCAAGTCACCGAGACGTGAAATCAAAAGTAGATATTCGTCGTGGCTGCTGAGAGACCGTAAGAATGACATCCGATCCTTCTTTGGCACAGTGGCTGGTGTGCGCACGACTTCTTGACCAACTGATGGTCGCTTAACCAGCCCTGTCGATGGAGTGAGATTATCATCAGAGCTATCCTCGGAGCTGTCCTGGGTCTGCGGTCTTGAATTCTTGGTGGGCCTTGTGCTGGCCTTGGGCTTGGAGGAAGCCTTAGCCTCGGCCAGCTGTCTTGTACGTTTCGTGGACGTAGGCGCCGCTGAAGCCTCCTCTTCATCATCAGTGTCGACCGGTACATACTTCTTTTTTGATTTTTTCTCGCCTACATAGACAGCATTGACGAGCAGGGACTTGTTCATGTGGGAACTCACGGCCCCGACAAAAATAACCAGTTTCTGTTTCGAGGCCTTCCTGTCTTCCCAATGGCCCCAAAGATGGTTTATTTCCTGCGCCTTCAAATGAGACGGATCTTGCACGACGAAACCATCAGGGATGGAGTCTGGATCCAGGTACACCAAAAGGTTGCCGGCAATCGAGAGCCAAGGTACTGGCTTTTTGCTACCAGTGAAGACTTCTGAAAAACGGAAGTTGAGTCAAGTTAAAATCAACAGATGAAGTGATCGGCAACTCACTGTAAGATGCATGAAAAATTTGCCGAACCAACTCTTGTTGCCCCCTGAGGCTCACTCCTTTACGGGAAGGGAGCTTTGCAAACCCGTGCTCGTCCAAGATGACTTCAGGTATCGCATCTTTTCCATCTTTACTGTCTTCATCGGAGGAGTCATCATCATCATTGGTGGGGTCTGATACACGGTCATTGAGCAGTCTGAACCAATCCCCAAAAATACAGAGCTTACAAAATTCTTCCTTCGACCACTCGGCATATTTTTCAAACCCTTCGGATGTCCACTCTTTGCTTCCTCGAGAACTCAGGCTAAACGGTTTCTTGTGATTGACAGGCTGAGACTCATGACTGAATAACAATAAAATTATTATTTTACCCTGAGGAGAGTGGATAAATACTCACATCTTGACACTTAATGTCTGATCGGCATTTTTCTTGTGACTGACTAACATCACGACTCGGCAACCCATAGAACGCCGCATCTGTTCTGTAAAATCGTCGAGAACTTTTTTGAGGCTTTTCTTTCGATACCTGTCAATGTTGTTATAGTAGAAATTGAAAAAAAAAAGGCAATTTACATCGCCTGTGCTTCTACTGGGGCACCTTCCCTATTCCATTTGTCCCTCGCCTCCTCAACCTCCTTCCGATGTGCAGAAGTCATGTTGTTGAACCACTCCCTCGCATGTCCAGTCCTATACTTAATAGAATGTTGCACGCCTTTCTTCTGTTGCTGCTCCTTATCATAGTCGTCCATCTCCTGCTTGAAGAGTTTCTGCGCGACGTCCCAAGCATTAAGCTCCTTCTTGTAGAACCCTGCGTCCTTAGGACGAGCCGCCAATTCTCTGTCCTCAGGGGACACGCCAGATGGTTCTTCCTCCGGCTCATCACCCAAGACCTCTTGCTCAGCATGTCGATCATCAGCGTCCGTTAAGAACTGGAGGTAGTACCTCCTGATAGCCTATATAATAATTATATCAGTATCATTATATACTCAACAAAACAGTACCTTTTTCAATCCCTTTGGTAAATCCTCGGAATCCTGTCTTGTGCGATGAATTGCGACAATTTCATTGCGGATCTGTCTTAGGAGATTCTGACGGGAATTCTTCTCATTTACAAACTGATCTTTGTGGAGAGTCAGTACTCCCTCCCAAGAAGCATACCATTCAGCCATTGATGACAAGAAAACGTAAGTCAGGAGCTTTTGGTAAGGGTGAGTATGCGTCGCGTAACCTTAGACCAGGCCGAAGAGTTGAAGTTTTGAAGGAGACGCGATCACGTGCATGCAAACCAAGACTGTGTCATTACCAAATCACACGTGTGACAAAGTGATACCTCAATCAATTCAAATTATGTACATACAGTGTCAAGTAAATACATAATTCACCTGCGCGCCTTCTTTGCAGTCCCAGGAGGCGCTGTCTCATTCTTGCGCTTGCCTTGGGTAGAGTCAGGTAAAGACTGAGATACAAAATGAGTAGAAGGCGACTTGAACCAAGCGCAGTTCTTGGTCCTGGCGCTGTTGATGATGGACCCAGGAGGCTTGGTGACAGAAAACTTGTAGCATGGCAACTTTTGCGTGCTACCACAGTTGGTGTACTTGCATGTGTAGATGTACTGGCAAACAGAGACTTGGTGTGAGGCGTGCGCGTCGTGATTCTCATCAGAAACTGTCACAGCAACCCTCTCAGCCCAGCTCTTGGTAGAGCCACATTGGGGGCATTGCGCAGGAATAGGAATGCCCCAAGGCGAAGTCTGAGTGTGAGCGCGCGCGAATGTAGTGAGTTCCAGCTTGCAGCAACCATCAATGTTGACAGGAGTCATCAGGATGACGCTGGTGTGTTGACCGAGACCGCCTGACATACTAAGGAGGGTCGGAAATACGGTGCGGATGTTGAGTTGCTCAATCGCAACAAGTTCCGCCATGGCGACCAAGAAATTAGTGGTGACAAGGGGTTGAAAGCGAGCTGCGGGAAAGATAATTGCAGATGCGAAGTTGAATTGAAGAACGGACTCCTTGAGCTGAGTGTAGGGCGTCTCGTGTGCCACCACAGAACCGCAGACCAGGAAGACGAAGTGTGCGGACTTGAGGATCCTGGCGTAGGGCTTCAACACTGTAGAGAGAACCTAGAATAGATTAATTAATAATATTGACGCGTCAAATTTTAAAACTTACATGCTGAACTTGCATCGCAACATACTCTCCATCACCTTGACCCTCCTTCCCTGCAAAGAGCCAACCGCTGTCTTCTTCCGAATGGTTGGAGAGAAACGCAAAGACCCGACCAGTTGAGCCAAGGTGACGGACGAGCTTAGCAACCGTTTCGACCTGGTCGCGGGTGTACTTGTCGATCTTCGTATACGAAACGATGTCGAACGAGATCTCGACGTACAGAAACCCACCGCTGGGGTAGTACTTGTCGAGGTAATGCGAGAGGAGTGGAACGGGTGTGGAGATTGCGTCCTTGCCGCCAAGGGAAAAATGGACGATGGCGAGGGGTGTGGCTGCCAAGATGGAGTTGGACGCCAGCTCATACTTGCCGTTGAGCTGTAGGAAGCCTGGGAGTAGAGGCGTTCCTCCTTCCTCTGGCAAAACGTTATGGTAGAAGCCCTGAACAAAGTTAAGTAGTCAATCAATAGAACATTTGAATAAGAAAAAGAAGACTCACAAAATATGGCGCGGGCTCCTTAACCGTCCGCAATGAGTGACAAGAAAGACATAAAAATTTAACGTCCGGATGTTGGACGGCATCGACGTGCGCCTTGGGCACCTCAATGCATTTGCTGCACATGACGCGGGGGCAGGCGTTGCATTCAAAGAGTACAACGTCACCTTCCGCGCCATCGAGACAGATCAAACACCACTGACCTCCAGTCAGTCAACAGAACACTAGAAAGAAGCAAAAAAAAACTTACTATACTGTGTTCTTCCGGAATCCTAGCGTCCTCTGGCTCTAAGGATGGCGTGGACGATTTTGATCCTGCGGGCACCGGAGGAGAGCCGGCAGGTGCCAAAAGTTTCCGGGCAGAACCTCCACAAGACTTCTTGGCCGTGTTGCTCTTTTTAGGCGGCATTGGATAAGGAAAAGAAATGGTACTACCAATGGTAGAGCAAAAAGGACTTTGCGAATTTTCAAACCAACCAGTCATGTGATCGTGTTGTGGTTGGGCTGGCATTTGCCGCAACAAACAACATCAAATATGTTGAACATAAAGTCCAGCGCAACACTTTCACACGGTTCAATTTCAAACCACATCTCTTCTGTCCGCTCAAACCACATCTCTTCTGTCCGCTCACCCTGTTAGCCACTTACACAGACTGCAGCTGTGTAAGTGGCTAACAACTCACTGAGCACTCATTCCCTACTGCATGGTATGCGTCTTTCAATTCTAATTCTATTTCTAATTTGGTTGCATAGGTTGATTTGCGGATACCTAAGGTAAGTCTCTTCTCAACCGTCTCTTCACTGAACGCCTTCTTTCTAGACAATTTAGGACACTATTGGGGTGCCTCCAGATATAAGGTCTGTCTTTTTTGAACCGTCTCTCCACTAAACACCTTCTTTCTAGTTATTTTGGTATACTATTGAGGCGCCTATAGATCTAAGGTATGTCTTTCTTTCAGCCATCTCTTTACTGAACGCCTTCTTCATCATTGAGCTTTGAGTACTGGGGGCTTGGCTTTGGGAGTGGGAGGAGATGTATGTGTGCATTGGCGCACTTCTCCTCCCTTGCTTCACCATTGAGTACTGGGGGCTTGGCTTTGGGAGGAGATGTATGTGCGCATTGGCGCACTTCTCCTCCCTTGCTTCACCATTGAGTACTGGGGGCTTGGCTTTGGGAGTGGGAGGAGATGTATGTGTGCATTGGCGCACTTCTCCTCCCTTGCTTCACCATTGAGTACTGGGGGCTTGGCTTTGGGAGGAGATGTATGTGCGCATTGGCGCACTTCTCCTCCCTTGCTTCACCATTGAGTACTGGGGGCTTGGCTTTGGGAGTGGGAGGAGATGTATGTGTGCATTGGCGCACTTCTCCTCCCTTGCTTCACCATTGAGTACTGGGGGCTTGGCTTTGGGAGGAGATGTATGTGTGCATTGGCGCACTTCTCCTCCCTTCTTTTATCATTGAGTACTGGGGGCTTGGCTTGGGGAGGATTCAGTGTCCACATTGGTGCGCCCCTCCTTCAACCACCATTGCGCTTGGGAGGTTTAAGTGTCCACATTGGTGCGCCTCCTCCCGCCATCCTTGTGTTGTATTTTCTCTGGAGGGATGACAACCGCTCCACCATAAGGTAACTTGTATCGTTACCTCTGACCAAATGCTGATGGCAGCTTACAGATATGTTTCTTTTGGCTTGTTCAGACATTCAAAGGTAACCTTTTTGATATTCGCTTCGCAGATACTGATTGCCAGCGCGGTTCACAGATTATGTTATTTAGTTAGCTATATTTTTCTCGCTCTACTTTTTATTACTGTATTACGCAGTACTAGACTGCCGCAGAGAGGGCCCCTCTGCGGTAGCCTTGTATTGGCTTTGTCACACCTTTGTTTTTTTTCTTCAATTAGACAGAAAGATGTACCGCCAATATAACTTAGTTGCGATTTGTAACCAAATAGAGACACCACCCTGCTCCGTCTGTGTGAAAAAGTCACGTGACTTTTAAATACTGCAGTTAGAATGTTGCCAATTTTCGCAGCAGCATATTGTTGAACTAGGGGGTGCTTGAGAGTACCCTCAGTGTGCTTGTCTTTGGTCTTGAATGTGGCGGAATAGATGCGGCTGCTGCTAGATTCGGTTAGAAGACAATCAGAGTAAGGGATGAGGCTTTTGGTAAGGCCCTTAGCATGCAGCTGGTATCTCAGGCATTCCACCTGGGCTGAGGAAACGAGCAATTGCATCTATGTGAGTTGGTATCTCAGGTATTCCGCCTGAGCTGAGGAAAAAGAGCAAATCCTCATCCAAGCTTTGAGACGCGATTGCTCTTTTCTTCATCGTGTCTATGAGTCGGTATCTCAGGTATTCCACCTGAACTGAGGAAAAGAGCAAATCCTCATATCCAAGCTTTGAGACACGATTGCTCTTTTCCTCAGCATAGGCCTGTAGCATGCAGCCGGTATCTCAGGTATTCCACCTGGGCTGAGGAAAAGAGAACTGCGTCTATATGAGTTGGTATCTCAGGTAAGGTATTTCACTTGAACTGAGGAAAAGAACAAATCCTCATATCCAAGCTTTGAAACACGATTGCTCATGCCTGAGATTTTGTCTCTACTGTAGATACACTTGAATACAAGGCTCTTGGTAAGGCTCATAGCATGCAGTCAGTATCTCAGGTATTCCACCTGAGCTGAGGAAAAGAGCAATCACATCTTTGGTAAGGCCCGTAGCATGCAGCCAGTATCTCAGGTATTCCGCCTGAGCTGAGGAAAAGAGCAATCGCGTCTCAAAGCTCGGATATGTGGGCCTTACCAAAAGCCTCATATTCGAGTGTGATTGCTCTTTTCCTGAGCCCAGGTGGAAAGCTCAGATACAAGGATTTACCTGCACGACTGTGCTATATCGCGCCTAAGACACAATATTCAACACTGGCAGACCAGTTTATTACTTGCCGTTAGCATAAGGCTCAAATTTAAAGGTTCTCCCAGCTTTTATGTCTGGACTGCCATTTCTTGAGCTTGAATTTGAAGGATGTAAGGTAACTTAAGTTGGGACTGCTGTTTCTCATCTGTTTCTTTCACAATACAGGCCTCTGCTTGGATGGTATGTCTTTGCAAATCTTATATTACGACGCCATCCAAATTAGAAGTTATCCCGATTTGGATCTTCCAACATTGTAAATTAAAACCATTTATAGTCTAGACTCTAGACCGCCTGCGGTTGAAAATTTTACCATTCTGTTGTTTCGTCTGATTTTCCAAACTCCAACCACCCAAAAATGGCGGATCCTGCTGTGACAATTCTGTCCAAGAGCCTCTGTAGGCTTATAGATGACCTACTGCGTGATTCATCGCCGTATGAGTTGCTGATAGGTGACAAAATCAATGACAATTTGCTGCAAAGAGCCAGGTAAGGGAATCTCACGTCACTGTCCAGAAAAACTTGACAGCTGGAACTTAAGGACTAGATTGTGGGCCAAGTGGCAGGACATACGTCTGTCCAGTACTGGTAGTGATGTCAAGGCGAATGCCATTGCCGAGATTGAACTTACCAGGGCTGCGGTCATAATAGCCTATGCTGTAGTTAATCCCCGTAAGTGTTGATTTGATGGTTGGGGGGTCTGTCATTCATCATGTTGCCATAGTGCGAGCGGATTTGGACGCAGATCGGTTTGCGGACAGTGCCAAGGCGTCCCATCCATCGCATGCTGACAGCCAAAGACATAAGCTAGCAAAATATTTCCACTGTCCTTCGTTTGGTTCAATATCAGAGCCGGCAACATTTGTTGACAGGCATGGAAGGATCCTTGCTTGGTATTTGCCAGAAATCATGGTGCCTGATAGAATGGTATGAATTTGATTTGATTACAGTTTAAGTCCTTTTAATAAGTTATAATTAGGATCGTGTCAACCAGTCCATCAAATTGCTGAGACCTGCCTTAGATCAGTCTTTGCCCAAGCCCACTCAGAAGGCAAAGCAGCCTTGGCGTTCTCAAGGATTTGTCATGCCTTCAAGCGGGGGAGAATTTGGAGTAGGAAGGGTGACTTTATGCCCGGGAGGATTCATGCAACGCCATGAGGTAACTCTGTATTCGTATACTTGCCGTGATACAGAACTAACTTAAATGGGCTAGCGGCTTCAGGATGACTTGTACCAATCAAGCTCCCTTTCTTCACCTGCAGTCCGAGATTGGTTGTCCGAAATAACCGTAACTGAACATTTGTGGTCCGCTATCACCAGTCTTATTGCGCCAGATCAATATCAGGCCGGTGTGGAATCTGTTGCTAATATGAAGGATACGGTTCGTACCTCAGATCCTGTTGTTTGGCCCTTGGAGTTTTCTGGATTGGAAGTTATTGTCAACCGAGAGACCCCAAATCACCGAGACCCTGGAGCATCGCCTTCATTCTATGACCTTTTGGTGAGCCTTGGCAAAGGTCATCATGCCGTACTAGCTCTGCCAGATCTGGGTGCCGAGCTAGCATATCCGCCTGGCACTATGGTTTACATTTTAGGGAAGGTGCTGGAGCACGGGGTGCCACGGTGGGGTGATGGGGAGAGAATTGTGATTGCACACTTTGTCAAGGATAAAGTGCACGATAGGCTTGGTGTACCGAGACCAAAGTTTCCAAACCAGCGGGATTTTCTGAATAGAGTGGGGGCAGGTAAGAAGGGGGGTTTAAAAGCCATTCGGAGATCAAATAAGAGCAGGGGACGAGGAGTAGTTTCCCGAAAATAGATATCCCGATTAGACAAAGCTTGTGATTTTAAATCGGTTGACTTCTCATACACTGGAATATTTCCTCGGTCTAAGCACTATGTCCTCAAAAAAAAGGCAGCGTCTCAAGGCTATTTCTTATTCTTTCCAACATAGAGGAAAGTTATCACAAAAAAAGGATCCGGATGTTGATTATGTTGCTCACGAACCTACAAGAGACAAGAGGGGAAATCCCTCTTGGGTTGAGTCTTGTGCTGATCGGCTGTATCAAACTTCGCCAGAGCCTACTACCAGCCCAAGAAAACGAGTTAAAGAAGTACACACAGAATCACCAGACATCCAAGAAGAGGATTTAAATCAGGAAATGTTTGGTGACTTTGTTATTGACGAAGAGGCTGCTGAGCAAGGGAGAAAAACAAAGGTATGTCTAACAGGCCTTGGCTTACTAGTAATTGTTTCTCATCAATGGCATAGACACAAAATGACTTCATATCAGAGTATCTCGCTCACCGAGATGTGTATCTAGATGTCATCTTGGACTCAGAGAAATTTGCCACCGCAGGCATCTGCGAGACTTGCCAATGTGAAGATAATTCCTTCCGTTGCACAACTTGCACTGGCGACCACAGCTGGTGTCGCCCTTGTCTCCTCAAATCACATCAGTCATTGCCTTTCCACAAAATCCAATTTTGGAATGGCAAGTGCTTTGAAGACGTCACTCTTTCTGCCCAAGGATTTATATGGTACATGGGCCATGGTGGAAAGTCTTGCCCTTGCTATGGAGTTGGACAATGTCACCTTGATCAAGATTCTTCTGTGATTATTGTACATTCTTCTGGGGTGTTCACACACAATGTGTCGTGGTGTCGGTGTCCAGGATCACACCATGAACATCACCTGCAGCTGCTCCAAGCAGGACTATTTCCCGCCAGTATCACGCGCCCTAGGACTGCGTTCACCTTCGAAGTACTGGATCATTATCTCATTGATGCCTTGGAATGCAAGACTTCGGCAATGAGCTTCTTTGAGAAAATCCGACGGCTGACAAATAATGCTTTTCCAGATGCTGTCCCGGTGAGTAGAACCGACAATACCATAATTCTAGCTCATACTGAATGCAAAATCCCATCTGTAGGATCGATATCGTGAACTCATGAGAGTGTCTCGACTCTGGCGCGACTTGAAGAACCGTAAATGGTTTGGATTTGGCCATGACATGGAAGCACCCCCTAGTGCAGGAGATTTTGCTCTATTTTGCCCTTCTTGTCCGCAGCCAGGAATCAACATGCCTCTTATTTGGGAGCAGAAGTACGAAAGGCAAGTCAATTCCAGCAATCCTTGTCTGCCAGACTCCGGCCAGTACCCACAGTGCATAGCACAGCAGTGGTCCTGGCCGGTAATATGTGTCAGCTGAGTCCTGGCCGGTACCTCTTGTACGTAGCCCAGAGTCAGTCACGGCCGACCATTTGTCTCTACTGGCTTTGTCTGCCAGACTCCGGCCAGTACCCACAGTGCATAGCACAGCAGTGGTCCTGGCCGGTACCTTCTGTACTCAGCTCAGAGTCAGTCAAGGCCGACCATTTGTCTCTATTGGCCAGAAGTTGTTGGTTCCAGATAACTCGCGGATGCTGACTTTTTGATTGCAGGTGGCTTGTTATGAGAAGATTTGTGGTAGATGGAAACTTTACCGCTCAGCACATGAACATGCGACAGCCTCAGCTTGACGTCTTCCTCTCAGATGGTTTAGGTTATATGGTAACAGCAGGAGATTACCAAGCTCACTTGGCTTCAGCTATGGAGAGTAAAGAGGTGAATCAAGTTGCTTTGCATTGTTAGTGGTGGCTGAACCTGTAGAAAGAGATCCTCATGTAGCAACCATCGGGCAGTCAATGCAGCAAACACAAACAGAAGCAACCTCCGAGCTACAGGGGTCGGAGCCACTGCTTGTGCTCGGCATGGATGTTTTGTTCCCCACTGCATAGTGGACTTTCAGAAGGGTGAACGGCAAGTTTTCTTTCATTTACTCAATCTAGGTTAAGACGAGCCTTGGGCTTGACATGCTGACAAAATCACTTCAAGCCATAT